TCTCCGGAGTGACAATTCACGCTTCTCTGTCTGGCAATCCGATGGACATGTATGGGATTGGTGGTTGCCAGGAGAACAGTACTTGCCTGACTGCATTGTGCCAAGTGTAGGTTTGGTGGAGGGGGGATTATGATTTGGGGTTGTTTTTCAGGGGTTGGGCTTGGCTACTTAGTTCCAGGGAAGGAAACTCTTAAGACATTTTGGACAATGTCATGCTCCCAACCTGTGGGAACACTTTGGGGATGGCCCCTTCCGGTTCCAATATGACTGCGCACCACTGCACAAAGCATGGTCCATAAAGACATGAATGAGCAAGTTTGGGGTGGAGGAACTTGACTGGCCTGCACAGAGTCCTGACCTCAACCAATAGAACTCCTTTGGGATGAATTAGAGTGGAGACTGCGAGCCAGGCCTTCTCGTCCGACATCAGTGCCTGACCTCACAAATGCGCTACTGGAAAAATGGTAAAAAAATTCCCATAGACACACTCCTAAACCTTGTGGATAGCCTTCCTAGAAGAGCTGAATCTGTTGTAGCTGCAAAGGGTGGGCCAACTCAAAATTGAACCCTGTGGACTAAGACTGGGGTCCCATTAAAGTTCATGTGCGTGTAAAGGAAGGTGTCCCAATACTTTTGGCAATATAGTGTATGTGTGTATGTACTGGTGAAAGAATGAAAGACAAAGGCAGTTACAAATGGAAAGAACTTAAGAAAATGGCTATATGGGGAATTAAATGGCAGAATTTAATGATGAAAAATGTAAGTTCACATGCCTAGGCTATACCAGCGTTTCCCCTACACACTACATAGAATATGGAGCTGATGTAGGATTTTGAAATGGTGATTAATAGGGAGCTAAGCAATACCACTCAATGGCAAATAACAGCAGCAAAAGCAAAATAAAAAAAATTGGGGTGGTATAAGAAAAAGAATAACAACACATATAACAAGTATGGCATCACCACTCCTTTTAATCAATTGTATGTTCATATTTTACAGACAGGAGTACAGTTTTGTATTGTACTCTGCAAGAACACTAGAAATCTGGAGAAGCTTTAAAGTCAAGCACATAATAGAATTTCTTTTTGGGAACATGTGGAATGTTATACCAAATGAAGAAGTAATGACAAATCAATAAGATATTTTGTTAAAAAAAAGTAGTTTGCTGGACTTGAAATGATTATACTAAAAAAGGTTACAGAAATAATCCAATCCAGGAACTTAATCTGGCAAAATTTCCCAGAGTTGCCAAATGTTTTACATTAGATTTTTCTTGACCAACCTGAAAAGATTTCCAAGACACTGAACTTTGATGGACAAGTGCCTTCTTTAACTATGTTACCCATGAGACAAAGTAACACTTTTCTACCAATTCTTTGGATTGCTTTATCCTGATACACTGTTGAGATCAAAGATGTCTAAAAAAAATAAACTGTTCTTATAGCAGAGCAGCCTCTTCCTTGTATTCTCCCATAGAGTATTACAAATATATATATTTATTCCTGAAGACACCTGTGAATGTAAAACCCAGCTTTGTTGCACCTAAATGCATGTAAACATATGTAAACATATGTAAACAAATGTAAAAGAAATTAAACATCTAAGTACAGGTATATGTAATCTGGGAGGCACAAGGTCCACTCACTCTGGGTGTTTAGCCCCAATGCAGAGGGCTCTAGCATTTAGCTGCCGGTGGAGGGCACAAGAGTGCCGTCCAGCCTAGCTACTGGAACCCTGTGAAACTCTATGAGAGTTTGACAGCTGCTACCGCTAGACTGCGCATATAGCAGCACGTCCGTCTAAGGCGGTATGTACTAAGGGACAAATGCCTGTAACACAAAAAGTCTGCTTTCTGGACATTCTTCCCTGGGTGCATACTGCACTAAATGTTCATACCACTAGGTGTACCAACCAGCTGCTGCAGCTGTCAACCTCTCATAGAGTTTTATAGGCTGCCAACAGTGGGGCTGGATGGCACATCTGTGCCCCCCACCTGCAGTTAATAGCCAGAAACTAATTCACCAGGGCTAAACACTGACTGTACATGGGGCCTAAAACTAGTTTGATTTCCCAGATGTCTTCTCCTTCGTTTAGAAAAGCTAAATGCAAACCAAACCTAAGACTAGACATGAAATTACGTAATAACTTATTATACAAATTTGATGTGGAGGAAGTTTTGTTCAAGTACATATCTTAAAAAAATCCTATGTGGCCTCTAACTGGATACAGGGGTTTATATATTGTACAAAGTTTCCTTTGAGTATTTCAGTTCCCATTAAGGTTCTCACAAAATAAAGTCTTTTCTCTAAGCAAAGCAAACCATCCGCTCTAATGAGACCACAACAGAATAAATGACTTCTCTCTCTGAAGAGATGCAATTTTGCTCAAGCTTTAGTTAAGCTATAAATATGGAAAATTTCTTTCCCCGTCATACGGTGTATAAAACCACTCGTCACCTCTCTGGATTTTTGAAAAGTATGTTTAGCTTTGGGTGACAACAAGCCACATCATCTTTTTGTAAATCTATGTCTTTTATGGTGTTTAAAAAAGGAAGCCCATGAAAAAAATAACCATGGCCCTCAGCCAATTAGAGTCTGCCTTTTGAAAAAATGTCCCCAATGAAAGACTTTAAACTAAACGATCTGCTATCCATGCCAAGCCTGCAAAATTCAGTGGCTCTGAGGTTTCAGAGCTGATCCTTTCTGGCACCAGTCAAGTACGTACATAGTCTTATGGGTTTGAGTGGTAAATTATCCTCAAAAAAGTAAAACATCTTAAAGAGGTATGAAACCCTATAACAAAAATGTGATATTGCAGCTTACAATCTTTATATTTTGTGGATAAATAATTTTTTAAAACTTTTTTTCCCCTGGTATTCTGGCCAGTATTCACTCCACTGGAAAATAAATGGTGACACCCTTGGATATCAGCATCAGGGGAGAGAGTAGTGTTAAATGTTCAAACAATTTTAGATAAACTTAACTAAGAAATTACATTTGAACTCCAGCTAACATTTTACTGTTAAAGCAACAGGTTTTTTTTTTTTAGGATAAAGTGTTTATATAAACAAATAAAAGCTCACCACCATCAGTGTTAAATGGTTTGTCTCAACCCTCTAACTGACACTTTTGCTGGACAGTTTGGTCTGTTAAAGAGAGTTAAAAAATAAAAGACTTACTGACCAGATCACTAGGTGAAATTAAAAAGTGTACAAAATGAAAACAACTGCAGCCACCACATCTAAGGACAGTTAAGCAGGAATATATGAAATATTTGTTTTTGGGTTTAATACCGCTTGAAATGTATTCTGTCATCCATCAACCCACGGACCTGTATTTAGTTGCAGTGGAATACCAGCCTGTTTGGCAGGAGAAGAAAAGCTTGTGTAGATTATCTATTTGTGCTTGCATTTACTGATATGCCAGAATGAGCTCTTCTCAGTGTCCATCCCTCTTGCGATGCAAGCTTTTTAGCCCTACCATGGCAACACAAGCAGCATAGAGCAGCAAACAAATGGGAACTGTGCATATGTGTGATTTCCTACAGATACAATGTAATCAGGATGAGATGCGGGCAACTGTGACCAATGAGATGCTGAACTCAGTATGCGGGAAACAGAGTATAACACTGTCTACACAATCAGGCAGCTCTGTGGACAAAAAAACAAACAGTTTGGAAATAGAAGAATATCTTTATAATTGACTGAGTTTTTTTTCTTTCTAGATACAGTTCTGTTTTCATTTAATGCTAGGTAAAGTGGAAAGTGCACTCCAAAGAAAGCAAGATCTCCCATTCCAAAACACTAAAAGGTTTGTAAATATATGTACTTACCTTACCCCAGCTTCTATTCTGCAGCGGGTGATCTCGCCATAGATCTGGCAGGATCCTGGGGAATGCTGGGTAGCCCAAACCTCACAAGAAGATGCTCCTTCACTGTGCTGAAGCAGCATCTCATGACATTTCCGGTACTCACCATTCTCAAGATCTCGCTGGAAATATTGACATTATCCTTGATTAGGTGCCTTGGGCATAAGTATACCTATTAGCTTCTTTTTTTTGCCGTTTTCTTTTTTAACTTTATTGCAGTGTTTTCGATTGAGGGGTGGGACTTCAGCAAATAAGCAGACAAATAATTCATACACATCCACCACTTACTGGCCCTGTAATCTATTTTTCATTAAATTACTTGTTAGGACTTATTAAACTCTTGACGCTGGCCACACATATATATGCGATTGCTCGGTGGGTGGGCCTTAGCATATAAGCGGCCTTGTTTAAACTACTTACTGTGGCGCTCCCTACACGCTCACAGCATGGTAGCCGGTGGTGATTGGGAAGCTCCTGATGCATACTTGAGAGCCAATCACAGCGGTCACATAACCCAAAGGCCCGTCTCCACCTCCCAGCTTTTAGAACCCGTAAAAGGGCAGGGAGGTGGTTGGCACCAAAGGGTTAACATGTGAGGTTGGGGGGGCAGTAAAACCCCACAGTTGATGCAATGCACGTGGTTGCATTGAAGTACAACTCTGGAACGAGCAAGAGAGGGTGGCTACATTTCTTAATACAGTGGGACCATGGAGAATAAACGTAGCCATCTTCTAACAGGAAGTCTGAACACACATCAAAATGAAAATTAATTTGGAGATTTGGAGCAGGCTAAGAGCAATAGAAGGGACATTTTTGAGTCAAACTTGAATGAAATTTTTTTTAAAACTAGAGATTAGTGTCACTTTACAGAATAGGTGCTTGGGGCTAGGTTAAATTTTAAAGATTATTTTTAAATCTTAGGGATTAGATTAACTGTTACATGTAAACTATGTATCAGGGTTCAAGACAGGGTATAGTTAACTATTGGTGTGAGGTGAAGGGTTTAAAATAAGTTAGGGGTCAGACGTATGGCAGCAGAAAGCCCCACACTAAAACAACAACTCTGGAAAACCAGAATAAAACTCCAGAGACAGTCATCTTTGATCTCAGAAGCCACAATATATTCAACACACCTCAAGAATGCTGTAGTCTGTTCCTCTGGCATACATGACCACAGCGTGTGCAGAGTATGTCCTTAGCTTCATCGTCAGCTTCATTTCTTCCTTGTTTTCATTTTCCAACAACCGGTATTTGATGTAGCTGTTCCCACTGAATGTTACAGATGAACCAACTTCAAAATAAACAGGAATATATTTGAGCAAAGAGACTTATATTTGGTGGACATATATTTACAATTTACTGAAGGAAATAAAACATGAATCATTGTATAAACCCCCACAGGCTTCTCTCAAAGATAACACATCAATCATATGTACAGTAAAATAAAAGAGCCAACATCATTTGCATTATCTTCATGTAAATGGATCTCCCCCTCAGAGTAACATATGGCCAACAAATGTGTCACTATGGAGAGAAAGAACACAGTACTGTTCATGTTCTGCTCAACTGTATTACACCAAAATAACATATACAGTAGAGCGCCGCTTGAGCTACACTCCCCAGAATAATTGCCCAATTTAAGTCAACCGCATGAGAAACTCAATGAATTCCCAAACATCTTCCCTTAGGCTAATCACTAAGATCACTGGCCAAGAAAAGGGTTTATTTATGAAGGGAATGCAAGAACAGAGATGGACCGGGTCACTGATGTAGCCAGGCCTCTACCGGAATGACAGCCAAGATTGCCTGTGGCTAGTGATTGCTCAGTCTCTTTAATTATTGTTCAGGAGTGCTCAGGCATGAGGTCTCAGTATCATGCTTCCTACTATCAATCTGAGTGCGTCCCAACTAAGGAGAGGGAGCAGGAACTGACTGGTCATCGCATCAACGATGACATATACTAGTGCTAATTCATTGCTTACAAGCAGAACTAATTCTAGGCTGCCAGGTTCTGAAATTCTCCTTATTGCAAGACTAGGTATTTAATGACTGCATTTCCATAATATACAATCATTGCCACGGATTTCAGAGATTTAGTAGTAGATCAATAGGTTTAAAAGAGAAGTAGGGCTTTTCTTTCCTTACTGATACTTACCTAGGTGGATGCAGCATCGGTCCGATGCTGAATCTGTCCCCCGCCGGCTCTAAGGGTGAGAACTCAGCAATCACATGATCGCTGAGTTCTCCCCTCCGCTGTCAGTCACCACCCTCTGCTCAGCCCCCTCAGCACTCACTGGAGTGCTGGGTTGTAGAAGGGTAGGGAGCGGCTGGCTCAGGCTCTCAGCGCTTTGCTGAGAGGCTGAGTCAGGTGTCGCTCCAGATTCTGGGATGGATCCCAACTTTAAAGTCAGAATCTTTCCCCAGCCTGGACCAGCTGAGTGATGTCAGCTGACAGCGGACCTTAGCTAAAAACCGGTCACAGGAATGCAGAAGAAACTGCACTATTGTGATCCCCAAAAGAGCTTTGGTTGTACTTCTCCTTTAATATAGTGCCATTTGCCATATAGTAGTTCTCACATTTTGAGATAACTGTCCACCTATTCAGTATACTCTTTTGGAAGCAAATAGGATGAGGTGATAACACAGAAGAGCAATTAACAAACGGTGTGTTGTCACCTCATAGCAGGTGGTGAGTGAACAAGGACATGGCTGGATTACTAGATGCCATTTTGTAATGAGGACTGTAGATTTAAAAATATTTCAATAACCTAATATGTTAAAGTGACTGTAAACCTCTGAAATGAAAAATTAACAAAGCATATCCTTCTATAGCGTGTACTTGCCTCTGTCCCAAAAACAGCATGTGTGATTTCTGTCTCCTATCTCATTCCTCTGCTATCCGCATGAGTCACTACTGACAGTCTATGCCAACACCAAACAGCCCCCCACTCCTCCAGCACACAGCAGGTGACTGACAACCTCAGCTGTGCATGTTTCCCTATGAGACTACATAGAGGGGTGTGTCCATTCCCACCACTGAGGTCTCAGATTACACTCAACTCTGTGCTCTATGCAGTGCAGTGTTTGAAATCAGAGCCCCACCCCCTGCCTTCTAAAGCTCACAAATGCTGTGTAAATTCTGAACTTTGGATAGCTGTAGAGAAGAGTTGGCTGCAGATAAACAGGTACTACATAAGCTGGTCTGGAGTGTGAGAGGAAGAAGCAGCACAAGGAGCCAAATGGTTCATGTGCTGACCAAAATTATGATAATAGGGAGAGTGCAGAGTGAAAGTCACTGTGATGCTTCTCCTTTCACTGTCTAGCAACAGGCTGGGGTGGATCCAGGATGACCTGGGCTCTGAGGAAATAGACTGAATGATGATGATGATCTTGCAAGGGTACTTTAGAGGAAAATCTCAAGGTCAGAGCTTAATATTGATGCAAACCTTTGTTTTGTTATTTAATCCTTGAAAAAAATTACTTATATTTTTTTTTCTATATTGTAATTTTTGGCTGGGTTCTGCTTTAAAATAATTAGCAGAGCCTTCTGTACCACAGAAATACAGATTGAAACAAAATTGTGATGCCTGTTAAAGAAACACCACCCCAACCTACAAACACCAGTTTAGGTAAAGGGTGAGTACTGCGTGTGCCTTCAGGTCACATTCCCTCTGAAGAAGTCCCTATAGGGAGGAAACATGCCAGGGATTGGAGGCCTGGCATGTCCCCATTCCGGTATGTTCCATTGCATCTGATTTTGGATGACTGGAGCCCAGTAGAAGGAGCCTGGTTAATTGCGTTCATTATGTGTATTTGAGCTCAATGTCAAAGCTACTACTGATCTTATAGCTGGTGGTCCAACCAGGCAATTTGGTGCTAGCTACAGCACCAGCCTTGTCACTGGAGAGAGGAGCTTATAAGTCAACTTTGTATCATAGATGTGGAATAGACACAGATCACTCAGACAAGTACCAATTTTCTCTCTACACTGTTAAACAAAGCAGTGATCCAACTTTACATCTTCAAATTCAAAATACTTATTTGCACTCTCACACCCAGTTGTTACATGGCTCATGGTTTTCGATTACCACTGACTGATTTGCAATATTGGGACTAGAGCAGATTTTTGTTATCACTTTTTACATGATTGATTGAATATGAACATATAGGCATTCCAGGTAGGGAAGCTGGTTTTTACATGATTTTTAGTGTTTTGTGCTGTGTTATGTTATGATAGTTTATCTGATGCAATGTTGAAATATAATTAAATAGAATGAGACACAGTCTTTATACATTTATTAAGTTCACCTTTCATAATATTTTACACGTTACACACACTCAAATTTAAAAAAAAAAAAACGTGGCTGTACAGAGCTCCGGCTGCCCGGCTGCATCACTCATTCACAGTCCTCTGTGAATGAGAAAACTACAAGCCCGACAGCCTCAGCGGCTGTCAGCTTGTAGTTCTCGATGAACTACCACAGAACTGTAAGCGCTGTGGTAACTCATTGATTCCTACTGTCAGTATAGCAAGCAGATATACTGACAGGTCTGCAGGAGACCTGCATGACACCAGCAATCAATGCATTACAGACTCCCAAAATAAAAAATAATAAATGCACATATCTTTACCTGCAAAAAAATGTGCATTTATTATTTTTTGGCAAACTGTGAACTTATCCTTTAAGGTCCTGTTCAAAAGGTGATTTAAAATCGTGAGCAGAATCAAAGATAATTCTAAAACACAGAAGAACGCGCAATGCGCTTTTGTGTGCCATTCGTCTTGATGGCACCCCAAATGCGGTGTGAATCTACTGCAATTGTTGCGCAACAGTATTGTATCAAATGTGCCTAAGTTTGGCACCCACAAAATTGGCAAAAATTGGGCTAAGTTTGTCACCCACAAAGGGGAAGGAGCTTCTTTTGGGTGGCAAATGTGCATAGGGCAACCCATTGAAGTGAAATGGCTGCTCTATGCGCAACACATTTTTCTGCAAGTAAATAGTGCTTTAGAAATTGCAAGTGGGACCAATTGTTCCCGCTGTGCAGGGTCTGAACGGGGCCTGATGCTTTGTGTTTTTGCTCATCATCTAAAGCTTGGGGTTTGTTTTTATATATATATATATATATATATATATATATATATATATAGACTATTACAAGTTTTTGGTTGAGCAGATATAGATTTAAACTATTAAACTAACTATTCAGGATGCTGTGCCCTGTCCCAAAGCAGTAAGTACTTGGGCAGCACAGTGGCTAAATGGTTAGCACTTCTGCCTGGCAGTACTAGGGTCGTCGGTTCAAATCCCAACCACGGCACCACCTACCTGTTCTCCCTGTGCCTGCGTGGGTTTGCTCCGGGTACTCCGGTTTCCTCCCACAGTCCAAAGACATGCTGGTTGGCTCATTGGCTCCTGTCTAATTTGTCCCTAGTATGTGTATGTATGAATGTGAGTTAGGGCCTTAGATTGTACACCCCTTGAGGGTTAGGGACTGATGTGAATGTACAATAAATATGTAAAGTGCTGCATAAATTGATGGCGCTATATAAGTACCATAAATAAATAAAATTATACTTGTAACCAGAAGTCCATTGTGAATTCCTGTCATTCTAAAGTTCCTCTGATGATTTCTTCCCCTCACTGCTCACTTTAGTGTTGCGCCTCTGACTTCAGTAGCAGATAATATAATACCTACATATTCTAATTTGGTTTTTAAAGTTTACGATTTCAGGTGGAGTTCCAATGTGGTATAAAAAATACTATTATAGTATACAAATCATCAAGCAGGAATGTCTTACCATTGCATTGTCGATCATCTGAGCAGACACAGTTGTACTTCTCTTCATTTGCATCTACAACACATTCCATACCCTCTGGGCATGGGTTTCCTTCGCAAACACTGTTCATAATGGGACATTTCCCTCCTGTTAAATAAGAACCATGACATTAACATTGTAGGCACAGTTTATACACACATACAAAGAAGCTTGCAGCCACTTTGTCCTGTTCAGCAGAGTTTCTTACCTTTGCACAAGCAGACAGATTTCCGCAGGTGTCTTGGAGTCACAAAGCTAAGCCTTGCTGTGCTGTGCGTTGACATGACATTCTCATCTACAGAGATCTTCTCATCACAAAACCTGAGGGGACAATCCACATCAGCACAGAGTTTATGGAAGACCTCAAGGATTTTAACCCCACTGAAGTCTTCGATCTCAGCTACAGAAGCATTTATCTTTTGGATAAGGAGTTTTGGAACAAAGCGTGTACTGCCTGGTTTATCTACAGCCAGGAGGACGTCCAGGCTAGCAGGTGGGTCAGAGGGTTGCAGGCTAAGAATCTGGACATCAATCTTGCGCCCTCCCAAAATATTTTTTAACGTTCTCTGAAAATTGCGCCAGTAATCTCCAATAAATTCCTCCGGAGAAAGGTTGGAAAAGCGGAAGGTTATACTGTGATTTAGCATCTCCTGGGTTATCTGTTTGATATGAACAGTAATATCTGCTGAGGTTGTAAACATTCCATCGTTAACACTGACGTTTAACAGATATTGGCCAACATCCAATCGCCTGTGTGCTATCAGTTTCCCCCCTGCGCTTGAAACGGAAAACATATTTTCCACTTTGGAATCCAGGCTGTACATGAGTGTATCATAAACATCCTGGTCCGTGGCATGAATCTTTCCAATCACACCCCCAGAGTACTCCTCTCCGAATGTTGTGATGTATATTTCAAGTGGTAAAATGGCTGGAGGGTAGATGCTCTCTTCAATCACTCGTATGTCAATGTTTGTCACCGATGACAGCTGTGGCTTCCCATTATCTGCCACCTGGAGGAAAAAAAAGAAACATGAAAAAGTGTGTTTTCCAGCAAGAGGCAAGAAAAATATGCTATTTATACATTACAGGGGAATACCAGCTTATGTCTGTTTGCAAACTATACTGAAGAAACCCAACTAGAAGGATGGGGTTTAGCTACAGTAATAAAATGAAAACTTAAATCCTACAGAAAGTAAAAACCTTCTACTAACTGTGTTATAAGACCCTAGTGTGTAACTTGCGCTTTGGTAATCACTGGCCCCAGCCGGTAGTCAAAGTTTTCCTCGCAATTCATTACTCAGGAACAGTGAAGGAAAATATTAATTAAATTGGTTTCTAATAGCTATAAGATTTTTTTGTCCATTTATGTGTTTTTTTGTCTTGAAACCTTGCTGAAAGGAACATCAAGAAAGCTAGCCATACCTGCAAAGAGTTTAATAGTTTCCCTCATCCATGATAAACAGCATGGATTGAGGCTTCCCCCATCAGCTATTGTATACTGCAGCCAGCAGGACCCACAGCTGCTGAATACCTGAAAAGTTATATCTGATTGGCTGATAATTTTCCAACCAGCTCATTTCTCAATAGGCATTTGTCAAGCCAGGTGTGCGACAGGACCACCCGATAGTTCAATTTTCAGCAGTATATAGGCAGCTTTAATCAGTTTTTAAGGGGACAGTATAGAGCACTGAATTGTACATGGACTGTAATGACAGTGAGTTGTAGCAATCTCTTGTAACAGGCCCTGCAGCATGCTCCCATTTTCCTGCAGCATTCTCCAGGTCTCTCATTCTCCTGCAGCATGATCCAAATCTCCCATTCTCCTATGGCATGCTACAAGTCTCTCATTCTCCTGTGGCATGCTCCAAGTCTTCCATTTCTCCTGTGGCATGCTCCAAACCTCCCATTCTCCTGCAGCATGCTCCAAGTCTCCCATGCTACAAAACCTCCCATTCTCCTGCAGCACTCTCCAAGTCTCCCATTCTCCTGTAGCATGCTCCAAGTCTCCCATTCTCCTGCAGCATGCTCCAAGTCTCTCATTCTCCTGCAGCATGCTTCAAGTCTCCCATTCTTCTGCAGCATGCTCCAAATCTCCCATTCTTCTGCAGCATGCTCCAAGTCTCCCATTCTCTGGCAGCATGCTCCAAGTCTCTCATTCTCCTGCAGCATGCTCCAAGTCTCCCATTCTCCTGCAGCATGCTCCAAGTCTCTCATTCTCCTGCAGCATGCTTCAAGTCTCCCATTCTTCTGCAGCATGCTCCAAATCTCCCATTCTTCTGCAGCATGCTCCAAGTCTCCCATTCTCTGGCAGCATGCTCCAAGTCTCTCATTCTCCTGCAGCATGCTCCAAGTCTCCCATTCTCCTGCAGCATGCTCCAAGTCTCCCATTCTCCTGCAGCATGCTCCAAGTCTCCCATTCTCCTGCAGCATGCTCCAAGTCTCCCATTCTCCTGCAGCATGCTCCAAGTCTCCCATTCTCCTGCAGCATGCTCCAAGTCTCCCATTCTCCTGCAGCATGCTCCAAGTCTCCCATTCTCCTGCAGCATGCTCCAAGTCTCCCATTCTCCTGCAGCATGCTCCAAGTCTCCCATTCTCCTGCAGCATGCTCCAAGTCTCCCATTCTACTGCAGCATGCTCCAAGTCTCCCATTCTCCTGCAGCATGCTCCAAGTCTCCCATTCTCCTGCAGCATGCTCCAAGTCTCCCATTCTCCTGCAGCATGCTCCAAGTCTCCCATTCTCCTGCAGCATGCTCCAAGTCTCCCATTCTCCTGCAGTATGCTCCAAGTCTCCAATCACCTCTGTAGCCTGTCTTCAGTCGTAGGCTATGTTTAGTTGTGCAGCAAGAGTGCCACACCTCTGATAAGTGATCCACTTTTCAGAGGTGTTTGACAGGAGGTGAGGAGATGGCATGTTTACAGCACAGCCCCATTTGCTTTATTAGGTCAAGTTATTGGTGCTACTGGCCACCAAACACAACAGGGGAGATAATGTTTGCTACATCCACAGCACGTGAACACACTTATATGCTGCTTTTTCAGCTTAAGGGGATGCTGTAAACACATAGATCAACTGCATGTTTTTACTGCCCCTAAGCATCAAGTCTAAACAAATCTACTATGGTATTTTCAGTCCTTGACTGTTTCTTATATTTCTAGGTACACTGAAAATTATATATGGCCATTTGTTGATGTCAGGTGCCACACCTAGACTGACTATGTTAAGTAAGTTGTCCACCACTATTATGTGGAATAATTAAAGTTAAACACAGGAAATTGCAATCAGATTATGGGTAGGCTGTTCTACGATCCCCAAACCACATACTGCTTCTGACAGTCAGAGAACAGCAGCTTTAATCACATTCCCATAAAGGTATATGCTTTGTAATCCTTTTTATTAGGTCATTCCTGGTCTCATTAAATCTGAATATAAGCACTGTTTCAGGTGAGCAATTCAGAGATTCATACAATTCACTTTAAACTGGCTTATTAAACCTGACTTGTAGGTGTCCCGGGGACTGTAATGATGGCTCATACTGCTATTCTAATAGTAAGAATCATATCATAATAAGAATAATTTGCACTAGGAACTACAGAAACCCCCCACGTCCAAGGATGGAATGCATTTTATACATGTATAGGTCCTAAAACACTCTGGGGTGATTTACTAAAACTGCAGATTGCAAAATCTGGTGCAGCTCTGCAGAGAAACCAATCAGCTTCCAGTTTTTTTTGTCAACGCTTAACTGAACAAGCTGAAGGTAGAAGCTGATTGGCTACAAAAATAACAGCTGCACCAGATTTTGCCTCTCCAGTTTTAGTAAATCAACCCTATTATTTTTTTTAAATATTGACGATCATGGGATGTCATGTTTATTTTATGGTTAACATCTGGAACTCAGATGTGTAAATATACTTCTTTTCTATGGCATAAAAATATGCCTTTATGATATATGACAGAATGCACAATATAAACGAGAGGGCTTACCCAAAACATACGATAACATATTCCAATCCAGCTTCAGTTAAAGTGTATGACTGCGCTCTTTACCAGTAGGTGGCAGTAAAGCATACTTGAAAAACACAAGTGAGTCCAGCCATGGGTACACTATAAAGATTCTTAATAGCAGAACACTTCCTACCTGCAACATTTCACAATCTGCAGGTTTTATATCAGATACACCAAGATGCAAATTAACCTCTGTCGGCTATCAAAATATCATCCATGTGCAGAAAATGTATCTATAAATTTACCTTCTACAAGTAATAAAAGCAGCTGTTATCTTTTAATAAGCTGGTGTCAGAATTAAATGGGTTTGAGCAGTACATCATGTTGTAGGAGGCATAATCAAATCTTACCATTGGAAACAAATATTTTCTGGCGACAATCCGAGATTACTAGTATGGAAAGAATTCACGGGGTCAGAGGAAATTAAGAATAGAATAATGGGTCTTCTGTGCACTTGGTGTTAGATTCTCTTTTATATAAAACAACAGGAAGTGCTTCACAACAGTATTAGGCTTAATTAAGTGAGCGTAAATTGCCTAGGCATCAGTTTTCAGTCCAGGATCAGTATTACTACAGTGCAGACACCACAGTAATCTTTGAGAACTCTTCTCCAAAGTACAATACAAATCATACAGTATTTACTGACAGCTATGCAATACCCCAGATCTACAAGCAGACCCGCTGACACATACCTTGAAACTACAAAAAGAGAACCAAAGCTACCCCAATGCCTTACAGTGTATCACTTGACTCTCCCTTTAGAATGTAAGCTCTAATGAACAGGGCCCTCTGATCCCTCCTGTATTGAATTGCATTGTAACGGTACTGTCTGCCCTCATGTTGTAAAGTGCTGCACAAACTGTTGGCACTATATTTATTATTTACTACAGGTACTTATATAGCATCTTCAATTTTCTGCAGCGCTTTACATATATATATGTTTTATTAAAAAAAAATTTTTTAATAAAATATATATTTTTTATAAAATATATATATATTTTTTTTTTTTGCACATTCACATCTGTCCCTAACCCTTACCCTAGGTTCACATCTGTGTGGGTGGTGCCGCTGCGGATCCGCACAAAAATCCATGCAGCCGCACCACCTGCAGAGAGAAATGCAGACCCGCAGGCAGGGTACGATTAGTTCTAATGGCAAGCCGCCCGCACTGGAAAATGCAACCATACTGGGAACCGAGGTTCCCGTGCGGGCTGCGTTTTCCAAAGAAGTGCAGGGACTTCTTCACTGCGTGTCACGGGCACGGGAGTCCATAAAACTGAATGGGCTTGTGCCCGTGCAAAACGCGGCCCACACGGCCGCATATACTGTATGTGAACTGGGGGTTAAGGAGTGTTCAGTCTAAGGTCCCTAACTCACATTTATTCCTACACATACTAGGGCCAATTTAGACAGGAGCCAATTAACCTACCAGCATGTCTCTGGAGTGTGGGAGGAAACTGCAATACTCGAAGGAAACCTACACAGCCATAGGGAGAACATGCAAACTCCGGGCAGTTGGTGCCATGGTTGGGATTCGAACCAATGACCCTAGTGCTGCCAGGCAGAAGTGCTACCCATCCTGTATAATATTAATAATAATGTTTCCTTTCGGCCCATGTACACTTGATGAGCTATATTGGGTTACCAAAACACATGTTAATAAACATGCAGTTCCATTCATTTTATATACACTCCGATACACTAAGACTTCACACTGGTGGGCTGCAGTTTGGGTACAGTGCGATTGTATGTACGATTTGCATACGGTTTTAAGTCCATTGATTTCTATTAGACCATGCGAAAGTGCATTAAAAATGCAACATCCAAGACTTTCATGAAAGCACACAGTCTAATAGAAGTCAATGGGAGCGCACCTAAAACCGCATGTAAAACACAAAACAATAGTGCTGCACCCAATGTGAACCTGAAAGAAGCTTTGAGTCTCCACTCAAACTTTCAAAGCCCTGTTCAGTGGATCCCATTGTGGGTGTGGACTGGATAGGAGTCTTCCATCCAGTCCACACACCCATGCCCTAACATAGTGTAAAGGCATAGGAAATACCTGTCACAGCATACCATGCAAAGCCATATGCCATAAGGATGATAGCAGCCTCAGCAAGCTTCATCCAAGCCTTCAAGCCATACACCCAAACACATTTCGCCCCACCCCCAGGTTTCAAGCATGGAGGACCTCATGTTTAAGCCCCAGGGTGGGGGGAAATCTTTGGAGAGGGGTGCTAAAATCTTTGAGGAGAGGTGCAGCTGGTTGGATAAGGGAGCTGCTGGTGTGGTGCAACCCTTTGTGCACTTACCCTGCACTGTGGTGTGGTGCATGGGAAAAAATGCTACATGTAGGTTTTATTTGTAAGTTTTGGTGAGTTGGCTGTCCATTTAAAATGAAAAGGCTGCCTTAACACAACACACAATAATGTAAGATCTTCTGTTATAGCGAATACGTTAACACAATGAACAAGGCAGAATGAAATGTAATCCATAAATACAATAATGTACTCCATCACAAACTGTGTTTTAAGGGTCACTGTGAAATTAGATGGAGCAGGAGGGGATATTAAAGAATCTGGCAGCTCAAAATAGGAGTTTGAGCATATGAGAGCTGCTTATAAGTTCTGAATGCCTGGGAGGCTCTGAACCATGCTAAGATCCATGGATGATTCTGGACTGTCTCCTAGCAGGGAAGCCCTGTATCTTTGGACTGCTAATCTGTGACATGCCGCAGTGAGTGAGACCTTGATTCCCCGAGCTCACAGGAAGCTGGTTGAATGATGTTGGGCAACATGCAACCCATAAGACATTTTATAATCTTAATTTCAGATAAATCGTTATATACACAGAAGAAATACTGCCAAAGAGTTTGTAATGACTGTATATTTAGCCAGTCTTCAGATCGAGATGGCATAACTACTGCCCCCAGTCTGTCATTGGACAGTGAAGGAAAAACAGCACACTGGGGAGGTCATCACTCTGGAAGTACGTTCAGAAAGTTGACTTACAGCACTGAGCAAAGGAAAAGAGCTCTGCTTCAGACTGCTGTCTCTCCCTCATACAGTTTGAGTGCTACTCTGCACAATATCAGGCCAAATTAATGGATTTATGCTAGTTCTAGGATTTAGATTCAATGGCTTTTTTATATCTGCCTGGAGTTCAGCTTTAACAGTAATCAATACAATCGATTCATATTACCTACAACTTATTTACCATAAAGATTGTTTAGGTTCTACTTTTTGTGATGCTGATTATATTCCAGCCTTGGTAATTCCAATTTTCCTACAGTCCTGCATATCTCCACTTTCTTATTAATCTGGTTTTATGGCAGGCGAAGCCTGTACAACCCATTTACTGTAAATAAACTACTTATCGCATTATAATTAGAGGTTCACAGTCATAACATGTATATTTGAAAATAAATATTGTACCTAGCTTCTATATAACTGTGATATGACTAAATCTTTTGAAAAGTGAGAAATAGAGCGTGAATAAAAATTAAAGCAGTTTCTGGGGAATATGTTTTCAGATAGTCCTGGACTGAAGGTATGTCTACGTTTGTACAGGCTGTCATCCCTTTAATGGTCACTGTTAGGTTAAGTAGAAAGAGGTTAATATTGGGGGGTTCTAGCAGTTAATAGTGGGTGTTGTTTGTCAGCAAACTCTAAACCCCTGGGAAGTTCTGAACCATGCTACCTTGGAGCATAGTTGTTTTTGGACTGTCTCTTGGCAGGTAAGTCTAGAATCTAGGATTGCTAAATTGGGCACCTAAAGGATAAGTTCATATTTTATCAAAAAAAATAATAAATGCACATAATTTTCCAGGTTTTTTTACTTGGAGCCTAGAAAGCATTGCACCTGTTATCAGCAGATTTCGGGTGCCATGCAGGACTCCTGCAGACTTTTCTGTATCTGTGTGGACAGGAAGTGACAATAAACTACCACGGTGCTCAACAGCTACAAGCCGATAGCCTCAAAGGCTATTAGTACTTGTAGTTTTCCATTCACAGAATTCTGTAAATGAATGATGTGGCTGGATGGGCAGAGCAACACATGGCTGTGATTGTTTTCGTAAATAGTGACACCTGAGGGGGGGTAAAAGGGGCAGCGGCTGCAGCAGTGGGAACATGTTACATGTTCCACCCAAAAAAATGGTGAAACATGTAACCTGTTCCCAAAGGTGAACCTATCCTTTAAAGTGGTTCTGAACCCTTACATGTATCCACTGAAGTGACTGGCCTCAGGCAATACACAGAGATTAAGCAAATTCTCTGAAGACAGTTCACATTTATGTGTTTCAACTCTGTATTTAGCTGTTTACCTGTGGTTAAGGGTTTCCTCTAGTTATAATCAGTCAAAGCTTGGCTGGAAATGAAAATCAGCCTTGGCAAATATAATATCAGATATCATATCATATTATATATTTGCATGTAAGCACCATAGCTCAAATACAGTATGTGAACCAAGCAGCTCAAACCTTGAGTCTAAACTGGCTACCACTATAGAAGTACTGCAGAATGCTGCTATTTTATGAAATGCAGATTGAAGCTGAAAAAGCTATAGTATAAACATCCTACTAAAACGGGTGTACTCTTAAAGCCTTTAAGCAATTGCTAATCTAGCTTACTCACAAAATAGCATATGTACATGATATGAGAAGCATACTATGATACCAAGCATGACACAAGCAGCTACATAAGGCCAAGCAGCTCTGAGTGCTCTAGCTGCATTGAAACGGCCATTCGCAGTCCTGTAAATGATCAGCTTGGCTACTTTTTACATGTTGAAAATGAGAAACCATTTCAAGCACCGTTGCATGCTTATTGCTACATTAAAGTAAATGTTGAAATAATACTAAAGGCAAATCTTTTTTTTTCCGTTTTGAATAGAGTAATGCAGGGTTATAACCCCTGTCAATTTTCATTTTGCCACCTATGTCCCATTGGGGAGATTTCTCTCCACTTCCTATAACCAAATCAGTGAAGTGACTGGCCTCAGGTGATACACAAAGATTAAACAAATCTCCCTACATAAGTTGTACTTGTCGATCTGCAGTCTTCTTTTTTGTACGTCCATTCAAAGTGCTGAATTTATAAAGCTTGTCTGATGTTTCTTTGAACCCCGGACAATTCTTCTATCAGTTATGGCTGCAATCTTTCTTGGTCTACCTGACCTTGGCTTGGTGTCAAGAGATCCCCGAACTTTCCACTTCTTAGTAGGTGATTTAACAGTACTGATTGGCATATTCAAGGCTTTGGACATCTTTTTATATCCTTTTCCATCTTTATAAAGCTCCATTACCTTGTTACGCATGACTTTTGACAGTTCTTTTCTGATCCCCGTGGCTCAGTATCTAGCCTAGTCAGTGATAACAAACTCATTGACTATTTATACACTGGTTGCAATTTAAAAAGCCACAGATTTGGGACATTAAACTCTAATTGGCATTTTAACCCATGTGTGTCACCTTGTGTGTCTGTACCAAGGCCAAACATTCCAGGGTATGTAAACTTTTGATCCGGGCTATTTGGGTGATTTCTGTTATCATTACAATTTAAAAAGGAGCCAAACAACTATTTGATAATAAATGGCTTCATATGATCATCATCCTTCAATAAAAGAGCATTTTGTGGCATGATCAGTCATATTTTCAATATCAATGCCAAGATTTCACAATTTCTGCCAGGGTATGCAAACTTTTGAGCACAACTGTAAATATGAAAAATTAATTTAAAATGACAAATCAACAAATTAAAGATTGTGTCAGATTTGAATTATTCTGCTTACATATACTTTACGTAGATTGATGTTTTCTGGGAACTGACTGGGTATATTTATCATTTGTGAGCTCTTGGGGCCATGTAAGGCACTGAACTGATAAATAACATTTTACCACGATTGGTACCTGAACTTGAAGCAGAAAGTGATCAGTGGATTTTCGGTTAAGTGTGGCTGCCGTCGTTATCACTCCTTGCTGGTTGATCTGAAGAGTATTATCTTCGTTTCCACTTAAAATTGTAAACGTAAAAGGAGGACCGTTGTGAGAAGAATCTTTGTCTGTCACTGCCAAGTGCAGGACACTGAAGCCAATCGCCTTATTTTCCTGTGAAGAGACATTTAAGGAAAAAATAAAAAGGATTATAAGACTGTCACAATGAGATATATTTGTCTAGAGGCTGACAGCAGGTTTCTGCGCATGAAGAAAAGACAAGGTTAAGAACCTAGCGTTACAGCATGGAAAAGCATTGATATGAACATTACATTATGAAAGGACAAGACAGTGCACAAAAAAAAACCAAAAAAAAAAAACAACTATCTAATATAAATATAAAAACTGGTACAAACATGAAAAATACACCTAGAACTTTGTATCCACTGGCTGCACTGAATATATTTGTGCTTAAATGAGCTTGTTAAGGCTTTTGAGAAGGATAAAAGATATCTTTGCCATCTAAATAAAGATGACAAAACACAGTGCAAATCCATTGGTTGCCTGTATTTCCTCCACTGATTTTCTACACATGAAATCCTATGTTAATGAAACTTCAACTGCTTGTTAGTCACTATTGTCTGAAAACTGATGTCAAGCCAATTTAAGTTTTCCTAAGACAAAACCGTTTTGAAGTAGAATTAAAGCAAAAAAAAACTTTATTTAGTCTGTAACATTTTAAGCCTAATAAGGAAAATGAGTATAGACAGCCCAGGGCAATGCTTCAGGTTTCTGGAGAATGGGGAATAAGAGATCGGGATTGCGGAAAGGCCATTAACTACTTGTGTACTAGTCTGTATTACTCCTTCTATACCAGGGCATTTTCAGTTTTTAGTGATGTGATAGTTTGATTGACAATTGCTTGGTCATGAAACACTGTACCCAAACTAATTTTATATCATTTTCTTTAAACAGACTGTTTGGTAGCATTAAATAACCACAGTATTTTTTTATTTTAGTCGAAAAAAAAGAACAATAAAAAAAGTTTACCTTACTTTATGTTAAAAAAAATATATCAGATAAAATTCCAGGACAGTAAACACTTCCAAAATGACCCATTTTTGGAAAGTAGAAACCCCAAGGTGATATAATTTTTTTCAAATAAAGAAACATGCTGGTATTGAGGGGGTTAAAACATGGAGTTTGGTAATGGTGCACTAGCCATATTATTGTACAGGTTATACACAGAGGGGGTGAAGGGATTATTATACAGGCCAGATACAATGGCAGGATGGAGATGGATGTGCTGAAGGACAAGATAAGGGGGGTGAGGGATTACCATATGGTTCACATCAGTTCACATACAGAGACAGCATTTATATCACTTGTATAGGAAAGGAGGGGTGGTGAAAGGGTTAAAAAAAAACAATGCCATTGTGAGTGAAATTGAATAAAATAATCTGCAGCTGCTGATCCATTCATTCTTTCCCCACTTATAAATTAATATGACCTCTCTCCTTCCTCTGTTGTATAAAAAAGAGGGGTGGGCTTCGACCATGTAAACAAAAGCATGTGATCACTGTCATCAGCAATCATGTAGCACCCTCCTAGGAGAGCTAGGGGGAGCTAGCTAATTATTCTTTAGTTAAAGGCTGAATAGCAGTCTGGTGTAATAGCCAGAGGGGTCAAATTTGGGTCAAGGCTGAGAGGCTCTGCAGATCAGTTTCCTGCAATCTCCCCCTGATCTAGGGACTTGGAGAAGTCTCTAGAATTCAGTGGGTGGGGGGGGTGAGGAGAAGGTGGTCTGCGCTCTCAAGAGATCCTGGCCAATCCGTAAGCAGGAGGCTTGGCGTCGGGTCAGGACAGCCAAGTCAGACAAGAAGAGTGGTTGAGCCTGCTCAGTAAAGAGAAGAGAAGGTGCCTGAGAGGGGGCCCAGAGGTGAAGGGGCTCACGTACAGGCAGAGGGGCTGGAATGGAGGAAAGCTCTGGACCTCATCAGCCCCCAGAGAGAGGACCATCTGTGCAGCAGGGAAGGAGCAGCCCAGAAGAAGGCCTGAGTGAGTAGACCTACACCTCTTGGGAAAGTGGGTTAGCAACTACCCAGGACTGTCTTATATTAAACGTGACAGGCACTGGATCCCCTGCCCTGAGATTCCTTCAGGCAGCTGGATAGGGGAGTATCTGGGCTCTGAGGTGGTACACCAGGAGATGCTGGCTAGCTCTCCAGAAGAAAATATCTGCTGTTAGTTCCAGGAGATTGTCCTCTGTTGCCATTCCCTTTGGGCATTCCATACATCCCTTACCCTATCCAAGTTCAATTTCCCCAATAACATCCAAAAACAAAAACAAGCTCAAGGACTGGTTACTGTCTTCTGGATGCAAGTCTGTGTGGAGAATGCGTGTTGCCTGGCTGTGCAGGACTGTAAGGGGACCCAAAACTCAGCAACTCCTATGAATGTAGTGCTACAATCATTTGGTACTGAGCCCCCTTGGTCGACTTGGTACAGTGTCTTGTGTGTACTGAAGCATCTAATGATGACTCTGTGGTCAATGATTAGCAGCTGGAACAGCTACCAATGGCTATTTATCTAGTGACGTTAATAAACGGGACTGGTAAATAAAAGGGAACAAATGCTCAGCGTTTAGAGAGATAAAAATCTTCTATAATGGAGGACTTTGAAGGCACCAACTAAACAGAGAAAATTAAAGCCAAATATTATTATAATTGATTAAAATGCAAAAAACACTGTGCATATAAAAACAGAATGAAAAATTGGCCCAAAAACATATGTATGAAACCACAATGAGACACAATAACATAGTCAAGCATATAAGTATCTGACGTGTTTCAATTTTTTTTGTATCCATTCGTGCAACCTTTGTTCTCTTTCAGACCAAAGCTGCTGATAAATCTTCACACTGGGTGTACAGGTCATGGCCCTCATGTTGCTACGGGGCAGTGATGTAGAGAACGGGGAATGCAATTACAGAGCACGGTGGAGCACAAAGGCATCTGACATATCCAGATGTGTGTTAAATGCTCAGCAACAGAGCAAAGATTCCATGAATGGTGGAGCAGTTAAAGTGTTACTAAACCCATGACCCTGCATTCAGTATATCCAGTCTCCCATAGTACACAGAACATGGAAATGCAATTATATTAGCAAATATATCACATCATCAGCAGTTAGACACCCTTGTGACTTCTATCAGTGTCCAGCAGAGCACTTGTTAAAGCTCGTAGGAGGAGTTTTCATTCTCCCCTTATTCTCCTATGAGGCTGCAGGACCCCTGACCCTCTGTCTGGACAGCGCTGATTGGCCCTGTGCTGATCACAAACACTCTCCCCACAAAAGCGTGCTTCATTGCATATCCAGACTAATTTTTACTGTTGTGGGTTTAGTAACACTTTAAAGGATAACCTCACCTCTCAAGAAAAAAAAATAAATGCACATATTTTTGCAGGAAAAATGTGCATTTATTATTTTTTCCTGCAGGAGCCTGGAAAGCGTCAGTGGATTGGGGGTTCAATGGTCAGGCTTCTGCAGACAAGCTCTGCAGCTTTCTGCCCGTGCCTTCATATGGGCTGGCTGTTGAAAGCTGCATGGCTTGTGAACAAACTACGAGGGCGCTCATCAGTGCCCACGCAGTTCATTCAGAACTACAAACCGTCAGCCACAGTGACTGGCAGTAGTTGTAGTCTATCCATTCCCAGGAAACTGTGAATGAATGACGCAGCTGTGTGGACAGAGCCCTGTATTGCCCTGCTGTTTTTAAATTGTGACAGTGGGTGCGGGGAGTAGCTTCCCTGCCCGCTGTCACACCGAGGAGGAGTGAGGGGCAACTGGCGTCACGAGCTAAAACATGTTACATGTTCCACCCTAAATATGGGTGGAACATGTAATATGTTCCAAAAGGTGAACTTAGTAAGTAGTGTTCTTTTGCAGGAATGGCATGTTTTTCAAATAGGTGACAAAGTGGCTTGAAAAATTCTTATATAGTCTAAATGTACAAATAACATGATATATATATCAAAGCATTGACTCTTTCACCTTAGCTACCCTAATATTGTTGAGACCAACTGTTTAAATTTGTGACAGCTAGAAGGCAGGATGTATTTACTGCAATCAAATAAAAAGAATATTAGCCATCCCTGAGGCACTGCTGAAATTCAAATACATATAATCATACGATTCTCCTTTGTCTCCCTATAGTTTGTGTGTTCCTAGCAATACACCGGGCTGCCATACGGACAGCACTGATGTACAATGTAATTTCAGCCTGATTGATCTCACTTCAATCAAAATAGCACAATCAGCTTTAAGATAAGCAGTATAAATATCTGCTTTTAATCAAGGAAATAAAAATGCTTCCAGTACATAATGACCTCAGTGCTTTATTATGTTTCCACACCTGAAACAAATATTCGCTATGCTTACATACTGAAAACCCATACTAAAAGTCAGAGAAAGCAGTACAGATATACAGCATATAAAGAGAGCACCGTCTAAATATAAATGTTGCCTTCAGAGAAGGTTTATGATATATTAATCCAGGAAAACTATGCAAGACAAGAAACCATAAACATACGTTGCGAAGTTATTTATTTCCATATTGTGTGCAATGCTAAGCATTCCACTCATAGTTTGGATATACAAGCCTATAAACACCACTTCAAAACTATACCATTTATATAAGGAACTGGCATTGCTTGTAAAGTGAATTTTTTTATGTCTATACTATATATTTATTTATTACAGGTACTTACATAGCGCCATCAATTTATGCAGCGCTTTTACATATATATTGTACATTCACATCAATCCATAACCCTCAAGGGGCATACAATCTAAAGTCCTTAACTCACATTCATACATACTAGAGCCAATTTAGACAGGATCCAATTAACCTACCAGCATGTCTTTGGAGTGTGGAAGGAAGCTGGAGTATCTGGAGGAAACCCATGCAGGTACAGGGAGAACATGCAAACTCCAAGCAGGTAGTGCTGTGGTTGGGATTTGAACCAATGACTCCAGTACTGCCAGGCGGAAGTGCTAACCATTTAGCCACTGTGCTGCCCATATATATATATTATACTATATATTTTTCACTAGTGGTAGAACTGTTGTAATTTTGGTAACTTCACTTTCTTACATGAGCAAATTTCATTGGTAGGTTTGTTGACACTTTCTGAAAAGTCAAGTGACATTTATGCTGTCATTGCTGCAGCCTGTATAGGTTATGGTTTCTTATAGCATGTATAATACAGTGTTCAGCAAGGAGACAGAAATCACATTTAAAAGGGAAATGCTGGCAATGGGGGCAAAGGGATTTTGAAAAGAGTGAGAGGACCTCCTTCACTGTTGCTGCACATACTTTAAGTGTATGTAAACACCAACAATGAATGTCTCTTCACTGCTTGCTTTTTCTGTTAATTATAAAATGGAAAGGCTAGACAGGCTGATAACACTCAATCCACAGAAAAAGCTATGTGTTCTCAGCCCACAACAGGGCTTAAGAGCTGAGCACATTTATGGAAGACCAACAGGTATTTTTCTGTACTTGCAGGATATTTAAAAAGATAAAACAAAGGAAATCTTCATGTATTACAAATATGTTCTACATATGTTTTTTTTTTTACCTTGACATATACATTAATCAACAGTACAAAGTACACAGCACATAAAGATCTCTTTTTAATGCTAATAAAAGAGAAGTGTCGGGTATGAACAAAATATCATACTCAACAATCCCAACTGCAGCTGTTCCCTGCCACTCTACATTGAGAACTGAGCGATCAAAGACCGCTGATCGCTCACATTTTGGTCTTCACAGAACAGAGGTCACCGGCTCTATGCCTTGCCTTCCAGCTCTCACTGGAGCACTGGGCTGTGGAGAGGGGCTGGAGTGGCTGGCTCAGGCTTTCAGCGGTTAGACTAACAAGTTGGGTGTATCAGAGCACTACAGCAATGCCCAGGTGGAACCCAGAAGTACTGAGAGAAGATAGACAGATAAGCTGTGCTGTCTGTATGCATCTCAATGCTCAAAGAGACCCTGTCACCAACTTTAAAAGATTGCAGATAAAGCACAAATCAAGAATTTTAAATGCTTGCTTACAACATCTTTCTTTCAATAAACCATTTTTAATTCACTTGAAACTTGCCTTTGAATTCACTAAGGAGTCTGACATCTCCAGGAGGAGTCAATTCTCTAACAGAGTGTTCTCACTCCTGCCACATCACAGGCCTCTTCTCTGGGAGTGACTATTAATGGTCTGTCCTAGCCTAGCTCCTCCACCCCTCACCGTCCTACATAAACTTTTATGTTTCTGCCAGGAGAGCAGTGAAGGGAAATACTATAGAAAGTCCCTTGAGTGAGAGCTCTGAGTCTGCTGGGGCTGCTGACGTCACATCCAAGATCTTGGCACCCAGCAGCAGTCTGAAGCTTTTTAGAGGTCTACACAAAGGAGGCTTTTACGGAAAGAAAAATGCATAGAACACGTGAATTCCACATCTAATTTTATGGGAATATTGTTGTTGAAATAAATTTTCTGGTGGCAAGCTCTCTGTCAGGTCATAACTGACTTGTTTTTGAAGGTGCAAGCTGTGGGGATACTATTTGAATCCTTCCTTCACTACTTAATCCCTGACCTGCAGCTAGTAAATTAATAAAATTGGGGGTCTCAAGGCTTAACATGCATACCATTATTCTGGGCAAGTAACTCGCCAAGTAGAAAAAAAGGATAAAGATGGTAGCCCCAGAACGAGAAACTTTAAGTACATGTCATGCCATCTCTAAAATTTTCAACCTGAGAGGCTCATTTTAATTTTCAACTTGGTCTGAAGTGTACCAAGAACACATCCTCATACCAACAGTTATAGTTATAGGAGAAGTACAGCCAAAGCTCTTTTGTCTGTACTTCTGTGGATCACAGAAGTGCAGTTCGTTTTGCACTCCTGTGACTCGTTTTCAGCTGACGTCACTCTGCCAGTCCAGGCTGGGGAAAGACCCTAACTTCAAAGTCAGGATTCACCCCAAAGTCTGGAGTGGCTTTTGGCTCAGGCTCTCAGCGATCCACTGAGAGCCTGAGTCAGCTGCTTCCTTCCCCTATACAGCCCAGCGCTACAGTGAGAGAAATGAAAACGTACAATGTACAAATGTAATAATAGGAAAAAATAACATTAACAAAGCAATTACCTGGATTATAACGCTGTAATTTCCTTTAGCAAATAAAGGAGGGTTGTCATTGACATCTGACACATCAATGTTAACTGTTGTTGTGTTCCTTCTCGGTGGATTCCCGTTATCCTCTGCTTGGACTGTCAAGGTATAACCAGATATCTATAAAATAAAAATAAAGTTCAATGACAGCCTTGAAAAAAAATGCTGTAACATCCAGGAGAACAAAGACTCTTGATATACATGGAATAACAATGACATTATATCGCATGGAAAGCTCTTGTTCTGACGCGTCCCATATAATCAGTAAGGAAAGAAAAAGTATGGCATGACTCACCTTCTCTCTGTCTAAAAGTTTATTCACTTTAACTTCCCCTCGTACAGGATCAATGATAAAGGTATTCCCCAGATTGCCATCTGTAATTGAGTAGTGGATGTGACTGTTCAAAGGTCCATCAGCATCATCTGCAACAACCTAGATGAAAGCAGATTGTCATGTGAAGCACATACTGGAAGACAAGCAAACACTTTTGAAATAATTCTTCCTCATGTCCCAGTTTTAACTTATTAGATGATCTCCCAGCAGGCTTATTTCAATGGTTTCACCGTTACCTTCATAAACTCAGCCAACGGAACAAAAAAATGTGCCTGAAGGGACACAACATGATATCTTACACTATTGTTCTCTAAGTAGAAAGTACTACATGAATATAAGGAATCTTTTATTCTTCCTCTTAAACTAGAAGGTAGTTTTAATCTTTACTTTTATGCAACTTACTTTTTTGCTCACAGAGTGGTTTACATGAATCCTGTAAACATTTCTCTTTTTCCACATACTTTTCATGCCTGATCCCTGTTTTTACACACAAGGAGGCCAACAAAGGGAAAATGGCATTACAGCAGAGCCATTGAAGGAAACATGTACAGATATCAAAGAGCATTGACACAAATTGGTTTAGTATTATAGCCAGACTACTTTGCAATTTCAGAAGAGGTCAGCAATGGTGACCTTCATTTTTTCTCCCTACATGTTTCCTTTAAGAGATAAAAAGCCATATATCTTATTGGACTGGTTCTGTATGAACAACTGGCAAAATGGGTGCCTAACATGAATTTATAAAACCCACCAAGGTGTTCCCAATGTCTGTGACCAGGAGGGGGCATTAAAGTGGTTGTAAAGGAATGTGTATACTTACTTGCTCTGTGCAATAGAATTACACAGAGTGGCCCCAATCCTCTTCTCGGGTCCCCTGCCAGCACTCCTGGATCCTTCCAATAGGAAGCCGATTCCCATGGGGGCACTTGTGTCGGCTCTCTCCCAAGACCTGCTGAGGCATCCATTGACACAGACTCATGCACTCTCGTCACTGGAGTTGATTGACAGCGGCAGGAGTCAATGGCTCCTGCTGCTATTAATCTGCCCAGGAAGAAGGGACAAAGCCAGGAGAGCCACAGCTCTTATGCACAGCGATGGGTAGTGATGGGGCTCATGAAAGTATAAGGACGGGTAAAGGCGGAGTATATGACGCAGAAGGTTTTTTCCTTAATGCATAGAATGCATTAAGGTAAAAAAAAACCCTGAGGCTTGGCACTCAACAATTTAAGTGAGAAAGGACAAGCTGCTAAAATGTATGTAAACCCTAACAATGCCTTGCCCATTATGCAGTAGGAGTTTTTTGCTGTTGCTGTTCCAATGGATGGACAAACATTGTTTTAATGGGTTATAAAAGGCAATTTCTTATGATTCACTTGTCCTATATCACACTACACATATGCCTCATCATCTCATCACAGTACTACTAGCTATTGCAAAATACCTTATATAAAGGTCTACTAATTTTCCTACTAGATTTGCAAGTAAAACATTCACCAGCAGACCTGGCTACTTGAGTACAGACATTTCAACAATAATGCGAGAGGAAAGAGCTTATGGAAAGGAATTGGCAATAGTGAGTTTGCTCTCCCCAGATAGCACTGCTCACTGTCATTCCTGGTACTCTCAAACATGTTAAAAAAGACATATTATGGCATCTTTAAACAGCAGACCAGGCAGTTATGCAGCACCTTAGGAAATTGACACAGGCTCCAACTCTTTTAGAATGGATTTCTAAGATGGACAATGTTGAGCATATGGAGGCTCTTAATGAACGTGAACTGGGCACCTATGATTATCATCACCAAACTTGTCTTTAGACTTTCTAAAGAACTGAAAAATCTCCTCAAGTGGAATAAATTGCCCTCCTTAATATTATATTTTTGTCTGCGCGCAGTGTTCGGGTTTTTTTTTTTGTCTTTTTTTAATCATTTTCCCCCCCCCCTTCTTATTGTTTTTTTACCCCCCTTTGTCTTCTCCTTCAGACATTTTTCTCTTCATTTTTTTCTGTGCCTTTTCCCCCTTTCTTTTTTTTCTTCTTTCAACCTTAACTCTCTTGCATTGATTGGCTTTGTATTTACCCATATGTGCTCCTATGTGGGGCCAGCTCTGTTCTCTGACTTTTACAGGTAGTCCTTTTTGCCTACAGAGTGATATGATTTGCCTTTACTTGTTGTAATATAGTTTTTATAGGTTGGATGTGTTATCTACACTCACCAGCCACTTTATTGGGTACACCTTGCTAGTACCGGGTTTGACCCCCTTTTGCCTTCAGAACTGCCTTAATTCTTCCTGACATAAATTCAACAAGTAAATAAATAAATAATTTGCGCTAGTAAATGTGTATAAATATATAAATATATATAAAGAAATCATCAAATCATAAGTCCAGAAAAAAAATATATATATGCCAATACCACAAAAAAAATATAAAAAAACTTTTAAGTGCAAAAAACTTTTGTGCAAAAAAAGTGTCTAAATATGAAAAATTTCACCAAAAAACCTTGATAATATAATGGCAGATCATCCATAAATATATCTTCAGAAACGGAAACTCTGCAACACACCGATCCTCATCGATCGAAATAACAGGATGAAAAACTTTGTAGTTAATCGAAAATCCACTTCTCCAATAGATAAAGGACCACCTTCAAACGTATCCATGGGGGGAAATGCCAAGCACTCGAGAGAAACAGAAAGACTTCATGGTGCAATATTATAAAAACCAATTCCTTTATTAGGTACTCATTGCACTTACTCAAGAGGTGTCCCAGCCGACACCAGCATCAACAGCATAACAGCAATCACATAAACGAGCCTGGCTACTCAGCACATGCGCAGTAGCTGGCAGACAAAAACGTAATGACGTCACATCAATCAAGCTCCGCCCTACGCGTTTCGTCATCGACGTCCTCACGGAGCGGATACAATTCTATCCGCTCCGTGAGGACGTCGATGACGAAACGCGTAGGGCGGAGCTTGATTGATGTGACGTCATTACGTTTTTGGCTGCCAGCTACTGCGCATGTGCTGAGTAGCCAGGCTCGTTTATGTGTGATTGCTGTTGATGCTGGTGTCGGCTGGGACACCTCTTGAGTAAGTGCAATGAGTACCTAATAAAGGAATTGGTTTTTTATAATATTGCACCATGAAGTCTTTCTGTTTCTCTCGAGTGCTTGGCATTTCCCCCCATGGATACGTTTGAAGGTGGTCCTTTATCTATTGGAGAAGTGGATTTTCGATTAACTACAAAGTTTTTCATCCTGTTATTTCGATCGATGAGGATCGGTGTGTTGCAGAGTTTCAGTTTCTGAAGATATATTTATGGATGATCTGCCATTATATTATCAAGGTTTTTTGGTGAAATTTTTCATATTTAGACACTTTTTTTGCACAAAAGTTTTTTGCACTTAAAAGTTTTTTTATATTTTTTTTTGTGGTATTGGCATATATATATTTTTTTTCTGGACTTATGATTTGATGATTTCTTTATATATAGTTATATATTTATACACATTTACTAGCGCAAATTATTTATTTATTTATTGGTACACTTTATATATGGTGATTTTTTGCAGCTGGTACACTATTAGTAAGTTATATAATTTTGACCATAGGCGCTATTATTAATTTTTCTTATAAATTCAACAAGGTATTGACAACATTCCTCAGAGATTTTGTTCCATATTGACATGAGTTACTGTTGCCTTTCTATCATGTCGAACTAGTCTGCCCATTCTCCTCTGACCTCTGACATCAACAAAACATTTTCGTCCACACAACTGCTGCTCACTGGATATTTTTTTTTGGGACCATTCTCCGTAAACCCTAGAGATGGTTGTGTATGAAAATTCCAGTAGATCAGCAGTGTTTGAAATAATCAGACCACCCGTCTATCACAAACAACCATGCCATGTTCAAAGTCACTTAAATCCCCTTTCTTCCCCATTCTGATACTCGGTTTGAACTTCAGAAAGTCGTCTTTACCACGTCTAGATGCCTAAATGCATTGAGTTGCTGCCATGTGATTGGCTGATTAGCAATTTGTGTCACCAAGCAATTGAATGGGTGTACCTAATAAAGTGGCCAGTGAGTGTATTTGCTCAAGATTTTATTTTCATGCTTTATTTTGTTTATATGAAAATTGTTAATAAATTCAGATTGAAAAAAAAAAATAGTGAGTTTGCCGTACATTTGGAAACAGTTCTATATGTTTCAAATATTCTTTTCATCGATAAACTGCAAAGATCTCAAGTTTTCTCACTTTTTTCCTCACAGTTTTTGGACTGGGCACTTTACCTCTAACCATGCCCCAACATCCTTGACCGGTAGATACTCTGAACTGAACACAGAAAGACTTTCAGGACAGGTAGCTAAGTTTAAGTTGGCTCAGTGCACTGCATCAGTACCTGAACAAAAAGATCCCTTTTAGTTCCTGTATGCTTTTGGTATTATGTCTGGAGAATCTTCAGCCTCTGCTTGTCCCTGTGAGCCCAAGCCTACTGCTTTTAGAATCTTTAACTGCTTGTGACACCCATTCTAATATGGTTGACCAACGGAAAGAGCAAAAGATCCTCTCCAGGTGAGTGCCGAATCTGCATAACCCTTAAACAGACACGCAGGTGCTGGCCCGATCCGTGATCACAGATGCAATGGAAAAACAAAATGGTTGGCCGCACAAACAGCAATGTGGTGGATGAAATCCTTTATTGGAATCCTTTACATGCAATATGATAAGAACATGACAGCCCACAGGACAGAACAGGACAGAGGAGCAGTAGACGCGTTTCACACGAACACGTGCTTAGTCATTACATATAATATTAATTACGTATATTGTAATGTAATGACTAAGCACGTGTTCATGTGAAACGTGTCTACTGCTCCTCCGTCCTGTCTTGGAGCTGTCATGTTCTTATCATATTGCATGTAAAGGATCCCAATAAAGGATTTCATCCACCACATTGCTGTTTTTGCAGCCAACCACTCTGTTTTTCCATAATATGGCTGACTAGTTGTGCTAAGGGTAGTGAAAGTGGAAAATGTACTAATTTGGAATCACATAAGGAATAATTGGAGTTCTGGTAGCCATGGTTGGGAAGAGTTCTTGAACTTGTGTCATTTTTAATCATTTATGTTTAACATCACTGCTCAGATAATTCTTTTTTTTTCTCTTCTGAATGCTGTCAGGCTTAAACTTGTAATTTTTAATTTCACTTGTCAAAATGATAATTCCACTTTTATGCAAATTAACGGCATATTAAAATTGATCAATCCAACTATAAATGTTCAAGTGCTTTGTCTTGCTGTCTTCAAACAGTACAGTGTGTTCACTAATGAAACATGATCATGGACAAGTAAAAAAAAATTCTGTGAAGAATTACTTTGAAAATTGAATCTTAAAGAACAATTCCATGCACACTAAAAAAAACTCGAAAAGTAACTGTTTTAGCAGCCAATGGGGATACTCCTGTAAATACCCAGTTGTTGCTATGCTATATAGGGGCACAGCATAAGGGAGATAATTACATTGTTCAGACCCTGTTATTTTGCACACTAGATGACACTACTCTGTCTCCTATCCTACTCACCAAAATACTAGTGAATATGCCCCTCGTGTCATGCCCCTAGTGTCATGCACCATGGGCTCATTCCAATAAGCCCAGCTAAGTATCTACAACCCTTTAGCCCACAGAATGGGTGTTTGTAGAAGCTTAGTGTAAAGAAGGCTTTGAGTAATTACACAGGTTGAAAAAAGATTTCATGACTTCTAAAGGAAAACGTAAGTGAAATAAATGCTAATCTGAAGGCCCCCATGGTGAAAAATAGTATTCTGGTAAGTGCTGTTAATACATGCAATGATAGTATTTAACATATGGATTTCTTTTTTATGTTGCATGGCTTTATTTTTTTCTGTACATTTCAAGTAGATAAAGCAGAAATCGGGAATGGAACAAACTATACCACTTTTAGATGTGCATACATCAGTCACCTTTTATTCCCAGTACTTAAAGAGCTACTGTCATGAAAAATATTGGAGTATTGCAGGTTCATCTCATGACCATGTAAATGAGAAGAAAATATAAATAAAGGCACATGAATTAAAAAAAAGAATTCATATACTATATACTATTACATGTATTAATATATCAAATATGTGATAATAAAATATAATCACAAATAATGTATATTTATTTATATTGCATTGATCATATTCTGTGAGCGCTATTATTTGAGGTTATATTTTATTATCACATATTTGATATATTTTTTGGGTTATTGCTGTATAATAGCAGTTCCTATGTCAAAGTATTTATAGTAATTATTTCATGGTATTACATTCCTGAGCGCGCGATGATGTAGACTTTGGAATATATTGATTTATTATTAATATAATTTACCAGGGTTTATATATTGTTTACATAAGAAATATTACATGTATTAACCTGACACTGTTAGAATACAATATTTTTTTTTTACAATAGCGGGCTTTTCCTTGAACATAAGGTGTTTACATATGGATGAGATACAACAGCTAAATGGGTTTTCCTGCATACTGGGCACAAATTAGTCCTATAATTAAAAAATAATAAATGCTGTAATACAAGGGTGTCCAAATTGCAGTCCAAGGGTCAGATGCGGCCCTTTGCTAGACTTTATTCGGCACTTGGGGCACTATTTCTCCAAATAATATGAGGCACTGATACCAATGATGGGGCACTGTTTCTTCCACTGATACCAATGATGGGGCATTATTCCTCCTACTAATACCAATGATGGATCAGTACTCCTCCTTCTACTGCCCACCAACCTCAAAGTCATGTTTATTCTCACTGATGCTGGGCCTGGGACATTTTCTACCCTCACCAGCCACATTCCAGACCCCTAAAGTCTGAAGGATAGTAAACTGGACCTTTGTTTGAAAAGTTTGGAGACCCCTGCTGTAATATTATGCCTACGCCTGTCTATAGATGTATGAGACCTACTGCTGGCAGCACATTAAACACTAGTCACGGAATTGGGCTAGACAACCATCCAAAACTATTCTGTAGAGGATATAGGGGAGTGCCCCTTCAAGGAAAGTGTGTTAGTGAGTTGGGTAGATATAATATTGAAATAGTTTTGTTATCTGTTTTTGATAACTCCAAATAATAGAAGAAGTGAATTCAGACACCACATCTAAGGCCTGGTAAAATGTAGTAAACTAAATTTTTGTTCCTCAGTTTAGATACATTTTAACCCCCTCCTGCACTTTACAAAATCACCTTACCTTAAAGCTGGCCATAGATGGATTGTTTTTGCCCAAGTTTCCAAATGGTCAGTCCTCCCCTGATTCTGACAGTGTCAGAATACACTGATCATCGCTAAAGCCGACTGCATGAACTGACTTAATAAAAATTTTCCAACAATCCCATTCGAGAGAAGCTGATCATTATTATATAGATTTCTCTTGAGCAGAAACAGCCATAGACAGATAGAACTGTCCAGATAGAGGGTCAGGGGTCATGTAGCCTCACAGGACAGTCAGAGGTGAATGTAAACTCAGCCTACAAGATTAACCAGTGCTCAGTTGGACACTTATAGGAGTCATAAGACTGCGATTTGAACATTTGTAACTAAAAAGAGACAAAAGGTATTTAGCAGTTTACATTTACTAAAATAATTGCGCTTCCATGTTCAGTGTACTAGGGGAGACCAGAAGTAGTGAGTGTAGGGTCCTGGGTTTAGTAACACTTTAAGATGGAAACCTTGAAAGAGGGTCAGTTTGCCCCTGCAGGCCTTGTTGTCTCTTTCTAGGTACAAATTTTCAAATGTTTATACACTTGTTTTAATAGCTGTCAAGCATTCTGAGTAGGGACAGTTGGAGAAACACACCATTCTGGAGACGGGAAAGGAGAGGAACAGTGTTCACTGGGTTTACAAAACCAGAAATCTTGTCTACAGTTTATTAAACACAAACAAAAATAGGACCCAAGCTGAGCTTTGTTTTTTTTTTTACAGGTAAAATATGTAAAGTGGTGAAAACCTTCTCAGATGAAAGGTCATCAATAAGAGAACAATAGTATTTTTCAAAAATATAGTACATACAGATAAAACAGATAGGTAGCTGAGTTCAAATTACCATTAAGACAGGTTGTCCAGACACAGCGTCTTCACCGACCACAGCATTGTAAGTGCTTTGACTGAAAACTGGTGAGTTATCATTGACATCTGTTACATTGATGGAGACTGTTGCAACATCACTCAGAGGTGGAGTGCCGCCATCTGTGGCTTCTACTGTTAAATAATATTCTGCTGCGCTTTCATGGTCCAGACTTTCAATTATAAAAAGAACTCCTGTTAAGAGTTATAAAACAAAGTGTACAATAACATAGTGAAATTGAAGGTGTGCAACTTGGAATGTAAAAACAGATTTAGATTTATGTAACTCTTAAAAAAAAAAAGCATGGTTCTCTAAAAATATGATACTGTTATTATCAGAAACAACAAGGCCTTACAGAGGCATTTGGGGGTGTTACTAAAATTGGTGCACACAGAATCTGGTGCAGCTGTGCATGCTAACCAATCAGCGTCTAACTTCAGCTTGTTCAATTAAGCTTTGACAATAAAACCTGAAAGCTGATTGGTTACTATGCACAGCTTCTGTGTGCACCAGTTTTTGTAAATGTTCCCCATTGCCTTCTAAAAAAATATAGTCTGAAAAGTGTGACAATGTATTTTTTATAGTTTGGGATAGTGTATAACATTCCGTTATATTCATCATAGGTGAAATTTGTTTACAGGTGCAGTTAATTGAATGTGAAACTGCAGCTAAAAAGCATGATGAGCTCTACGTCATTGTATGCAAAGTAGATTGTTATTATTGCTTTATTTTCTTGAAATATCTAAACCTGCATTTTACTAGCAGTCTTGCATTCATTTAGTTGCACTGAAGGCATATTGCTTTTTTCTTTCTGTGGCGTGCAGCTGCTGGTTCATTGATGTCTTTACTTATTCATGTCCAGGACTTTGTCAATCTGAAAACACCAAGCAGGTCTGGCCATCCCGCCAGCTGTTCTTAAACAGCGCACTTCAGCAGCAGTTTGAGAGTGGCGACACCCATAGCTCGACACAACTTTCCAGTAAAGGAGTTTACAGCTTTCTTGAGAATGTGGATAATCCATTATGCGGGAAATTATGTTTTCTTAGCTTACCACTGTAGAGGTTTAAGGGGGTGTCTTAGACCTAAACTTGCCAACTGGAAAATATTACAGCAGCCTGGCTGGTAAAAATAGGACATAATTCACTGTTTACAGGACAAAAACACTAACAAGATAAGAATAGAAGTAAAGGAAACCATAATTTAGGGCTCCATTACATTAGTCCATTTAAACCTAAGATTTTCACTGCATTGTGTTAATTGCACATACATTTACCTGCGCTTTGTTAAGGCAACCATCACACTTCGAAAAATGAAAACTGCATGACCCTTAATTAACAAAAGCAGCACACTCAAAGTGCAGTATATGTGTTGTGGGTCACTGGGCTCTACTGTACAATGCATTGGGGTGCTAGTTACAATGAATGGCACCACAATGTACTGCACATAGGGCAAATGCATTGCAGTTTTAGCACACATTGCCACAATGCACAAGTGTTAATGGAAACTTAGGGCCTATTCACACTGTTGCATGCATTACCACAACCATGCGCCTCACTGCAAAAAATGGTGCATGTCAATAAGCCAAGGTGTGAATGAGCCCTTAAGTATGACCCAGAATAGAAGCCTTAGCAATTACTGCCCATATCCAGCACTACTAATGCAATGGTTTTGTTCACCACCAAAGTTGAAAGCAATGAAAATGGTTATGTTAGATTATGTGATGATGAAGACGGCTCATGTTAATATCTCATCAACAAGTAGTAATACAATAACTCACTTATGAACCTCAATAAAGAGGATATAAAATATTACCTGTAACTGGGTTAATGCTGAATTTTCCTTGCTCATTGCCACTGATAATCTGATATGAAACTTCTGCATTAGCTTCAATATCCCTGCTTGTAGCATACACCTGGAGAACTTCTGTTCCAACTGTTACGTATTCTGACAAAGTAGCCCCATACTCTCTGTGTTCAAAGACTGGTGGATTATCATTAATGTCCAAGACTGATATTAACACACTGGTAACTGAGGACAGCTTTCGAGGTAATCCATGATCACTGGCTTTGACGGTAAGCGTATACACTGCCTGCATCTCCCGATCCAGAGGTTTCTCCAAAGTAATTATTCCAGATGATTCATCAATGGAGAATTGACCATCTGCTGAGCTGACTAAAGAATACTGCACCTTATGGTTGAGTCCTACAATAAAATACAAGCAAGAGAAACACCATAAAGTAACAGTATAAGGCATTATAAGGTATAACAGTATAAGGTTATATATATATATATGACATTTCATGCTGCGTAGCTTTTGTCAACTTTTACAATTTTCATATTGCACCCACTCCCACAATTACATATGGTTTCCTTTTTTGAAGAAACGTGGACCAAGCAAACATGTACACAGGTCTGCTATGAGCATGGCCTATATTCATATTTCATGTCATGTTTATAAACGCCAATATTGATTTATATACACATTTATTTAGGGCCCTGCTCTTTTTTCCAAGTAATTAAGAAAGTACTGGGGGGGGATGGCTAGGCAAATAGTATTTTATGAAGGTCTGTAAAGGGCCATATACAGAGCAGATACCCTAGCCTTTTTATCTCCGGAGAACACTATTTCAAATGATTTTTCCCCAGAGACTATTAAGTCAGAGAATGTCTGTAGAGACTCTATTGTGTCTGTAAACATATGTTTGTTTCCAGGCTTATCATTAGTGACTGAATCAGGTGATGATCATTATATGAAAAGCCGTTGAAAGTAAAAAGTAATCACTGAAAGATAAAATACTGCATATATTGTGGTACATCATGTTTATACTGCAAAAAAGCGTGTGAATAGGTACACAATAGTTTGTAATCTACTGAAGATTAAGATAGTAATACTAGGCATAGTATTTAAGAAAAAGTATGAAGGTCTTAAAACTGGACAGTTCCAAATAATTAATATTGAGTCCAATCACTGGCCAGCACCTTTCACAACAGCATTATCAGCTGTGTCTTTAGAAAGAGTGAGCAACTGTTCAGAGAAAATCTACTATATTTTATATAATCTATAGTACAGTAGTTTCCTGAAGTAATACAGAGCCTAGGCAGTATGTCTAGTTGAAATACTACTGTGTAATGGCTTAGTAATCATTACTACCTGCACCTTGTGTTTTTCATTTGCACAAAGCTGGCCATAGATGGATTGAATCTCAACCGGTTCAGCAGGGACCAGCATATTGGATTTTTAGCATGTGACTATTGCCAGCTATAGCCACTAACAGTAAGCATTGTGTTCTCCCAGCCAGGACGACTCTCTGCAAACCCCCAAACCAGGCGAAAACAATTGCTCCACAGAAGGGATTCCCCCATCACCACTGACTTTGTTAATAGGGGTATCAAGCAATATTCATTTCTACAACCTGTAGATGCAGGAAAGAAAATCACATAATCTATGCCTAAGATGTGCATTAATCATGTAGCTTCATGGTCCAATTTATTTCACTATAATAAAGTAAATGTCCACATTCCTGTGTCAGCAGTTTCAGTTTGTGTTGAAACATGAGACATGCGGCATGGTATTGCACAGGTTAATGCATGACCTATGTCTGTAGTTTGAGACCTTACAATTTCTGTAAAGAAACTATATATTCCATGATCCCTGGGTCTCTCAGTTTAGTGCTGATGCAGGTGAAAGCTACACAATACTTAGAGTATATCTGACACAGCCACAAACAGACAGAACATTCACAGATACACTCAGAAGGCTCACTTATGCAGTGTTTCATCACATTAGCACTTCCACATTTGTGTTGCAACACAGAAGGGTTGGAAAGCATGCAATTGGCGCTACATGACCCTGAACAGGAAAATGTCCAGTCCTGGCACAGAGGGATCCGCAAGCTGAAGCAATACACGGACATGGGGGCATTGGTCAGCCATGACCCTACAAACTGCCGACACAATGGTTGGGCCAATCGTCACAAAGCAAGGCAAACAAATAACACAGGTAATATACTGTAACTACACCAATACCTAAAGCAACAAAACAAAATTTAAAGTGTACAATCCCTTTAACAAGCAAAAAACATATGAACACATTAGATGATTAATTTTGATCGAGGCACTCTCCACAGAACTGGTTAATACCTGTGTCTGCATCTATGGCCTGCACCCTTGTGATTGGAGTTTTGGGTTCAGTGTTCTCAAACACAGTCACGCTGTAAGGATCTGCAGAGAACTCTGGGGCATTGTCATTCACATCTTCTAATGTCAGCTCCACACTGGCTTCACAGAAGTTGCCGCCTCCATCTGTAGCTTTCACCAAGAGATGGTAGACTTCCTGGATCTCACGGTCAAGTGGTAATGATGTTTTCAGTTCACCTTGAAAAGTAAAAGAGAAAAATTAATTCTGAAAGTGAATCTACAATTTGTCTGCAACTTTCTGTAAAAAACTGTAAAAAAAAGGGATTGGGTTAGACTTAGATGCAAGTAAAACTGTGGCTTTCTAATATGTGCTGCAGCAGTTAATTATAAGTGCATCTGTATTCAGTGTTCTCTTAGTCCCCCTAAAAGGTCCCACAAATACCTGCCAGTGAGGTCCACCTAATGCAGCTTGCTGTAATGGAGACTTATTTGTACTTTAATGATTCCTCTGCTCTGAAGCTCTGCGCTAACAGCAGTTATCACTTCAGCAGTAAGAAAACACTCCTACTTATGTTTAGTACACACAATGAGAATATCGGATGAAAACAAACAACATTTCCAGAACGATAATCTGATCATTAGTACACAGATTTTGAGAGATGATCACAACAGTTCATGCAAAATTATAGGAAGGGACAAGCACGAAAAGTTTTCTCATAAGATACCAGAATGAATGATTTTCGTTTAATCAGTACAGTATTTGTTCTTAAAAAATTGTGGGAAGTTGTATTCCGTCTTACGATAATTTTCGTAACTCTAGTAACCTATTTGTTTTTTATATGAGATTAGCATGCAACAAAAATGGACCATCATTAGCCTGATATTCTCAACATGAGTACTAGGCATTAACATCTTTCAGCTCACTCATGTAAGTTAAGGCTTCAGGACGATTCCAAATTTCCCATAGACATGAGACTGTGGTCAGTTGGTAGAGAGAAAACAGGTGGCGCACACACCTAGTGCATTATCCAAGGTTTATTGTAGGAATGAAATAATAAAAACATACTCACAGACGAAGCATGTATCTAAAAAGCATAGAAAAATGATAATGGCCACAACGGCAGGCAAGGTGTTCTCACTGTCAGTGCAGTAAAATGGCTGATGTGTTTCGGGGACGAATCCCTTTCCTCAGAGCTGATGACCAACCTCTGATGCTGATGTATGATGAATGGAAAGTAAGAGCCTTGCTGTTGATGCCCGATTGCCTGCCGTTGTGGCCATTGTAATTTTTCTATGCTTTTTAGATACATGCTTCGTCTGTGAGTATGTTTTTATTATTCTTTCACTCCTACAATAAACCTTGGATAATGCACTAGGTGTGTGCGCCACCTGTTTTCTCTCTATCTAGTGGCTGATTTCCCCGTCTGAGGAGGGCTGCACCCCTGAAGCATTTCCTTTGGTTGTCGCTGTCCTGGTACCCTTGGCTTCCCTTTTGGCTGTGCATATCCTGAGGCGCTGGAGAGTGCATATAATATCCGGGGTGGTCAGTTGGTAGCCAAAACATCCAACTGTCGAAATAATTAGGTGTGCTTGAAATGGCCAACTGTGCTCATTTATGGACTAAGCAGACATCTCAGATGCCATCTGTACCTCAGAGATACAATGATAATTGGCTGGGAAAGATCATCACATGATACATTCTTTCTCTGAGATACAATGATGGGGATATCATCAGAAGCTACAGAATGTCCATATGAACAAGGAATTTGGAGAAGACTAAGAAGGTACTTTTTTTAAGTTAAAGTGTTAGTTCGCCTCTACAGAAAAAAAATGTAAAGGTGAACTAACACCATACACCCCCCATTACATCCAGGGTTTTTGAGCTGTTTGTGCCCTACACAGCCAGTCCAGCAGTCTGAGGATGAAAAATCCTTACTCTTCTCCCTCTTCTATGTGTGATACTACCAGGACACATCAGAGTGACTCACTGTACAGGCGCTGACAAATCAGAACTGCTCTGGTCCATCCCAAAAGCGCTGCACAGACAAAAAGAAGTAGAGCTGCGATTTCAAATCTCCAGACCACTGGACCAGTTGCATGAGCAAAGACAGCTCAGCAACCCTGGAAGTAAGTACAGCAGGAACCAGGAGGATGGGGAGGGTGTACAGTGTTAGTTCACCATTTTTCTGTTAGTGAACTAACACTTTAAGAGTGCATACTTGAATATATATACAGTAATTTTAGGTTTACGAATGAAAATCCATTGAAAATAATGCCTCAGTTTACAAACTTTTTAAGAAATTTTTTTCGCAATACGAAGTGTATGTCAGTGCTGATTTTTAAATGCAATTGCCGGCTTTTTTTTTTTTTTCACTATAGCTCACAGAATTAGCTGTCACTTTCCCTGGAGTTAACGGAAACTTTGTTTCTTTTAAGAAACTAAAAGGAAATATTGTTTGTCTTAACTCGTTCTTTCTTTTAGCTGGGGGGAAAGTGACAGCTGAATTTCTGAGCTATAGTGAAGAAAAACAAAAGCGGTAATTACATTTTAAAACCGGAACCATAATAAAATAAAAAACCGGTGTGGGGTCCCCCCTCCCATCCATACCAAGCCATTCGGGTCTGTTATGGATTTTGAGGGGAACTGCCACGCCAAAATTAAAAAAAAAAATGGCATGGGAGTGTCTCTCAAAATCCATAACAGACCCTTATCTGAGCATGCAGTCAGAAAACAGGGGGGGGGGGGGGAAACATGCCACATGCCCTCAAAATGGGGGGGGGTGCTTTGGGGTGGGGAGCTTCCCCCCAAAGCACCTTGTTCCCATGTTAATGGGGACAAGAGCCTTTTCCCCACAACCCTGGCCAGTGGTTGTGGGAGTCTGCAGGCAGGGGGCTTATCAGAATCTAGAAGCACCCTTTAACAAGGTGGCCCCCAGATCCCGGCCCCCCCATGTGAATGAGTATTGGGTACATGGTACCCCTACTCATTCACAAAAAATAAAAAGTGTAGTGTGAAAAAAGACAGGACATGGTCTTTGACAAGTCCTTTATTAAAAGAAAATCTAAAAGAATGTCCCCCGCATTAGATCCAAGGTCAATCACGATGCCCGCCGTCACCGCCGCTGACCAGAATAAAGGATTAAAAAAAAAGCCTCTGCTCCCAACAATGGGTTCCTGCATGCTCAGATAAAGGTCTGATATGGATTTTGGGGGGTACCCCCCCACACCATTTTATTTTTACATTTTGGAGTGGGAGTTCCCCTCAAAATCTATACCAGACCCGAAGGGCTTGGTATGGAATGGGAGGGGGGACCCCACGCCGTTTTTTAAATTATTTTTTTTTAATTGCCGGCAATTCTTTTACATTCAGCTGTCAGTGGGGAACCCTGCTAACAGCTGAAACATTAACTCATGGTTGTCACTACTAAAATAGAGCATTACTTGATAAAATAACTCATGCGGTATTTTAGTAACATTTACTTTTTCCTGACCTCCGGAACGGATTAATTGGTTTTCAATGCATTCCTATGGGGAAACGACGGTTTGCAAATTTTTAGCTATACAAAAGGTCCTGCAGAACGAATTAAATTCATGAACTTAGGTATTACTGTATATAGTTTTAAAACCAGAGTCTAGTGTCAATTTAATATCAGCTAACTTTCTTTAACTCATACATCTAAAACACATCCTTTATATTCTAGGACTATAGATTCAATGAGCTATGGTGATAGCAACTCTCATAGCCACTACACTAAGGACCCTGAGGAATATTGGCCCCAGTGCCCTGCCGAAAACAAAGCTTCCTCTGTTCATCTAATCAGAAGTGAAGCACTTATAGAGCCTGCACATTTTTTAGTTATGAATATGTCAGCAGCAGGCAGACAGAGCCCAGACAAAGCATGTTCTGCAAAAAAACCCAAGCTCTTTCTAGGGTGTTCCAAGGTATTTCCAGGTCAGCTGGAAGTTACAATTCCTCTAATGTGTTCTGGTTCAGACATTTCTTTTTTCATTTACTACCTCATTTTAAGCCTCTTTACTTTAGCTCTTAAAAGTTATGCAGCACAGTTTAGTGAAGGATGCTTTGCTCCATGATAATGGATGCATATACCACGGCTAATCAGTTTATTCCAGCTGAAGATGCCTCTCCTTAAATAATCATCATACTAGCACGGGCTTTGTGCAGAGGGCCTTTATTAACAAGTCTAGAATGTCTGCAGAAAAAAAATTTCATCCACCGAGATGCAGCGGAACATTAAAACTTTTAATGTGTTTGGAAATTCCAATTTATACAGAATATGAGCAAAATACTACTGAGAATGCAGGCACTGAAACATGCAGTTGTAGAGTCTATTATGGTTTTTTTTCCACATATTTATTACAAAGGTTTTTATTATGCTCTTTCAAACCATGTTTGGCTTTATAATATGTAATAATAAAATGGTCTACTGTATACATTTTGTAAGATTCAAAGTTCTTTAAGACAAAACAGTAGATTTCAATGCTGGCATCACAGTGCTAGTATTTTTGGCGCAGGAAAGGTTTTGTATGTCAACAATTTTAGTGAAAGAAATGAGATATTGCACAAAAGGGGTTTATTTTACATTGGCAAGGGGTTGTGTTAGGGTAGGGGTAACATGCAGGGTTAGTGTTTGGGTGACCGGGAGGGTTCATGTTAGTCTACATGCACACTAGCCTACCGCGGCCACGTTTTGTGTTTTCCCTAGGCCGGAGGTCAAAACGCTCCTACTCAAATATAGGAGCTGCTAATGTACATGAAGTCTTAGCGTTACAGGCATCATTAGTTTGAAGGGTTACAGGGAGAATGGATGTGAGGATTATTGTTAGTGTTACTCGGAGGGTTATTTTAAGGGTTATAGGCAGAGATGTGTGAGGATTATTATTTGACTTACATAGAGGGTTATTGTAAGGGTTAAGGGAAAGCTAGTGTGAGATTAGTGTTAGGCTTACAGGCAGGGTCTGTGTAAGGGTTACAGGCAGACTTAGTGTGAGGATCAGTGTAAACCTGAAGGAAGAATTAGTGAAAGGATTCAGGGAGAGTTCATGTTAGTGTTTAGCGAGAGTTAATGTTAGGGGATTTATTGTGAGGATTAGAGATAGGCATAGGTTAAAGAACATTTTAGCGTTTGGGTTACAGTGCTGGTTATTGCTACAGGAAAAGTTGGTATAAGTGGCCTTTCGGATTTGTGTCTTTACAATATTTAGATCTCTCAGGTTTTTCAAAGTGTCTGACCACAATAAAAAATAAGTGGTCTTTTTAAAATAAGTCTAATTTCAGAAATTTTCCTTTTTCAATTTTTCCAGGAGACCTAGAGCATATCCTTTCAAGGATTCGGCCAACACATGCAATTCCCAATGAGCAACATGGAAAAAAAAAAAGCTGACCTTACATCATGCTGACAGCCGACCAGCTTACACAACATAAAGTTCTTTCAGTTTATGTTGCATCATGGTAGCTTAAGTTTACCCAAAATATGTATTTTAAGAATTTTTTGTATTTTGCAGTATCATTTTTTTGGTGTTAGACTACTCTCTGGGGTGTATAAAAACATTTTCAGGGCTTTCTGTCCTTTGAACAATCACACAAATGTCGGGAAGAGTGAATGTTATTAGGTTAGTATCTCTCCAAATTGAATGGCTTTCATTCAAGCATCAACCAGACAGCAAAGGGATTTATGGGACTTTTAAGGTGTAAACTGTTTGGTTTTTGCTATCTGTTGGGGACGTACGGGCTCTCTCCATTACTTAGATATTAAACATCCGCTGCAAAGGCCGTATGTAACAACTACTACTGGTCTACCTCTATGAGGGCATTTGTTTCCTTATAAACCCATTTCTTTTCTTTGGGACTGGCCTGGTGCAGTGTGGTCTTGGCTCTGTGCCCTAGGAGTAATGCTTCTGGCCTTCTTATGGTCCCTACACTCACCACCTTCTCCTGAAAAAGCATTCAGCACAACACACTGAGATATAACTCCTCCATAGCCTACCTTTCTAATCACTATATAAAATACATGTATATGCATCTGGACGGCTAAAATCATGGCCATTTCTGGAGTGGATAAATATGACCTCTGTTCTGCTTATGGGGTTAGGTTCCTAAAGGTCAAATGCTATTTATTTGTTTTTATTATTGTTTTCTTTTTTATGACCAACCTGATATCCGGTTGAGTTAATAATAACAATAATAAACTTTTTTTAACATATTTTATGCATGCTGACTCTTTAAAACACTTTAAAAATCCCATTTACTCATTTGCTGTTTTAAGGGACAGATGTTGATGTTTAATACTGTTGGGATGGGATGTGGTGACTAGTGGCTCTTTCTGAACCCTTGGCATTGACATAGATTTATTCAAACAAAAAAGAGTGAATCAGGAAAATACTGCATTACGACCACTACAGTAGATGGAACTAATGATCATAGGGAATAAATATGTATCTACTATGATTGCTAACTCCATTCAGTGGCCATAATGCATTATTTTCATAATTCACTCTATGAAATAATAGCATTTTGCCCCATTCGCACTTAATAAATGTGCATGCAGTTTTGAAGGGCAAAAAGTGAATTTGCGACCCCCATATGTCAGAATATTTCCTGATCTGCCTTTCATTCCCAGGATAGCCTCAGCTGCTGGTTAAAAAGAAATACTGAACTATACACTTTTAAAAAGTCTAAAATAATATCCCACACCAACGGCATTGCTGGTTTTGCCTAACCCTCTTACAATATTAATGGGTGAATAAATACTGCCTGTGTAGAACTGTTTTTTTTTTTTTTTTATATCTGTTTTATACAGTTATATTCAGTTCCTCAATTAATAGAATTGATGCAATTATGTGCCTATTCCTGCAGCAGGAAATTATGCCTTGCTTTTTCTCCTGAAGAATTAACAATAATGATGCCTGTAAGACATAATTAAAAGGTCAAAACAGAAAGTGTAGAATTTATTACATTTCTGGAGCGCACCTGTAAATGGATTGAGGTGAAATTTCTCTGAGCCAAGTCCATGCAGTGTGTAAATGATCTCAGCATTGGAACGTATGTCGGCATCAGTGGCTGAGACTTGTAGAATTACTTTCCCGGAAGGGGCATCTTCTGAAATGGTCTCAGAATAGTCATCCTGTGAAAATGTTAGATAAAACCAGTGATCCTCTTGAAGATATTTTTTATGAAAAAACAACCAGGTCTGCATTAGATGGTGGTCCTTTAAAGACAGCTATCCAGTGCCACCACAAAACCATAAAGTACAGAACTTCCAGTAAACTTGTATGCCCAGTAGAACCAAACTACCTACTCAGTGGAAGCTTAGTGTCCCTTGTTACTGTAGCATCCATAATTTAAACTAATATGATATGATAAAAGTTAAAAAGTAAAGTAAAAGCAGAGGGGCCTGGTGGTAAAAAACTGTGGGCCAAGGGGCACTGTTACACTTCTATTAGCTTGTTGTAGAGCCTGCTCATGGTGCTTGGGCTAACTGTATGAAACAATTTACTGCTATTTGTTATGTATGTATAATAGATGACATTTAAATTATTACACAATGGGGATGATGTACTAAAACTGGAGCAGTCAGAATCTGGTACAGCTGTGCATGGTAGCCAATCAGCTTCTAATGTAAGCTTGTTCAGTTAAGCTTTGACAATAAAACCTGTTTGGTGACATTGCACTGGAGAAAAGGGACCTTCCATCTTCCACTGAGCTTTACACTAGAAGCAAAGATGTGGAACTCACGGAAACACTTACAGCACGCATGGAAAACACTCCACAGGCAAAATCAAGTAAATTTGGTGTCTTAGGTATGATTCCCCGCAGCTGTACGTTTCACTACACAATCTTTCTTTTAATTTACAGTGTCTGGAAAAGGAAGAGTTCTACTTTCTTCCACCCCCCCCACCCATTTTTTTTCTTACTTTTTTTTTCCTGCCCCCTTTTTATTTGTCTGGTTTAGGACACAGGTTAAGCTTATGGCATAGGTGTCATATGTACATGACTATAAGTCTAGGCTTTCCCTTTCCTGCTCTAAAATAGGGGTCCTTCCAGTGGACAAGCTTTATTCTACAGTACTTTGTTGACTGAAACCTACTGATGCATATACTGATAAAGATGGACACTTCTTTCCCCTTATTGAGAGTATGTAGCCTATATAGTATATAGTATTGGTTTTGGAAAACTGACTTTGAATTTCCTGATGTAACTGTTATTTTTCTTTTATCGTCAGGCTATGTGATCCTTCTCTTGCATGTAGAATGTTACACAAAGTATTGTATGTTTTGAAAAAGTTTAGTAAAAATTGTTATTTATTAAAAAAACAAAACTCTGGAAGCTGATTGGTTTCAGATATTGCACTCTCTAGTTTTAGTAAATCTTCCCCAAAGGTTTCTAAATCTAGTCATATTTCAAGCAAACATAAAAAAAAAAAAAAAAAAAAAAACCCTTAATTTGGCTTTTAAAATAGTGGTATCCTCTACATGCATATATTTTACATTTTGCATCCTAATAAACAAACACTTTAGTTGTAATACTGCAGTTTGTTCAAAGGTTTTTGTTTATTATTTTTTATATAGTTGTCAGTTTAGATAGGAAGAGGTGCTTAACATGTCAATTTACTAGTCATCATTCATGATTTGGTGGAGAATTACAAGGTTGTGGGTGGAAGGGCATAACATACAGGGTTTGATTTATGTAAACTTTTTCTCTCACCTATATTATATTGACCTTTCAAATATTTGACTTCTTTATTGCATGCAATAACTACCACTGGCAGACTATCCTCATTAAATGGGCATTACTTTAAATGAAATTACTTGCATCACACCTAATCTACCATTAAGCAATGTGTGAATGTTAATCTAATTCCTTTAGATATATGCCTATTTGACACTTAACTGTTCATAATTGATAGGCCAGTCACAAAGCTGAGTTTCTATAACAAGGAATAAACATAAAGACAAAAGAAACTCCTTACAGTACACATGATACCTTCATTTTGGTTCTGTATGAACAGAAAGCTTTAAAGTACATTTGCAATCAAATTTGAGAAACCCCCCCACTCTATATGTGTAATGCATTCCCGTTCACACGCCATACCTACAAATAATTAGAAAAAGAATCCTAATTTCTAGTTATTTTTTAGGAGGTTTACAGTGCCTTGAAAAAGTATTGAAATTTTCCACATTTTGTCATGTACAAAAAAATGTAAATTTATTTTATTGGAATTTTATGTGATAGATCAACACAAAGTGGCAAATTATTGTGAAGTTGAAGGAAAATGATAAATGTTTTATTCAAATTTTTTACAAATAAATATCTGAAAAGTGTGGCGTGCATTTGTATTCAACCCCCAAGTCAGCACTTTTTAGAACTACCTTTCGCTGCAATTACAGCTTCAAGTCCATTTGGGTATGTCTCTACCAGCTTTGCACATCTAGAAAGTGAAATTTTTGCCCATTCTTCTTTACAAAATAGCTCACGCTCTGTCAGATTGGATGGAGAGCCTCTGTGAACAGCAATTTACAAGTATTGCCACAGATTCTCAATTGGATTTAGGTTTGGACTTTGACTGGGCCATTCTAACACATGAATATGCTTTGATCTAAACCATTCCATTGTAGCTCTGGCTGTATGTTTAAGGTTGTTGTCCTGCTGGAAGGTGAACCTCCGCCCCAGTCTCAAGTCTTTTGCAGACTCTAACAGGTTCTCTTCTAAGATTGTCCTGTATTTGGCTCCATCCATATTCCCATCAACTCTGACCAGCCTTCCTGCCCCTGCTGTAGAAAAGCATCCCCACAAAATGATGCTGCCACCACGTTTCACAGTGGGAATGGTGTGTTCAGGGTGATGTGCAGTGTTAGTTTTCCGCCACACGTAGTGTTTGGCTTTTGGGCCAAAAAGTTCCATTTTGGTCTCATCTGACCAGAGCACCTTCCACATTTTTGCTGTGTCCCCCACATGGCTTCTCACAAACTGCAAACGGAATTTCTTATGGATTTCTTTCAACAATGGCTTTCTTCTTGTCACCCTTCCATAAAGACCAGATTTGTGGAGTCCACGACTAATACAATGCTCAAAAAATTAAAGGGACACTTTTTAATCAGAGTATAGCATCAAGTCAGTTAAACTCCTGGGATATTGATCTGGTCGATTAAGTAGCAGAGGGGGTTTTTAATCAGTTTCAGCTGCTTTGGTGTTAATGAAATTAACAACAGGTGCACTAGATGCACAACAATGAGATGACCCCCAAAACAGGAATGGTTTTACAGGTGGAAGTCACTGACATTTTTTCCCTGCTCATCTTTTCTGACTGTTTTTCACTAGTTTTGCATTTGGATAGGGTTAGTGTCACTACTGGTAGCATGAGGCGATACCTGGACCCTACAGAGGTTGCACAGGCAGTTCAACTCCTCCAGGATGGCACATAAATATGTACCATTGCCATAAGGTTTGCTGTGTCTCCCAGCACAGTCTCAAGAGGAGATTCCAGGAAATAGGCAGTTATTCTAGGAGAGCTGTATATGACCGTAGAAGGTCATTAACCCATCAGTAGGACTGGTATCTGCTCCTTTCTGCAAGGAGACACAGGATGAGCACTGCCAGAGCCCTACAAAATTACCTCCAGCAGGCCACTGGTGTGAATGTCTCTGACCAAACAATCAGAAACAGACTTCATGAAGGTGGCCTGAGGGCCCGATGTCCTCCAGTGGGCCCTGTGTTCACTGCCCGGCACCATAGAACTTGATTGGCATTTGCCATTGAACACCAGAATTGGCAGGTCCCATCACTGGCGCCCTGTGCTTTTCACAGATGAGAGCAGATTCACCCTGACAGACATGAAAAAGACTGGAGAAGCCATAGAGAATGTTATGCTGCCTGTAACATCGTTCAGCATGACCATTTTAGTGGTGGGTCAGTGATGCTCTGGAGAGGCATACCCATGGAGGGACGCACAAACCTCTACAGATTAGACAATGGCACCCTGACTGCCATTAGATATCGGGATGAAATCCTTGGACCCATTGTCAGACCCTAAGCTGGTGCAGTTCTGGGACTCCTCCTAGTGAATGACAATGCCCGGCCTCATGTGGCAAGAGTATGCAGGCAGTTCCTTGACGATGAAGGAACTGATACCACTGAATGGCCCCCATACTCGCCTGACCTAAATCCAATAGAACACCTCTGGGATATCATGTGTCGGTCCATCCTACGACGCCAGGTTGCACCTCAGACTGTCTAGGAGGTTAGTGATGCCCTGGTCCAGATCTGGGAGGAAATACACCAGGACACCATCCAATACCTCATTAGGAGCATGCCCCGATGTTGTCAGATATGCATAAAAGTACATGGGGGCCATACAAAATACTGAGTACCATTTTGAGTTGCGGCAATGAAATTTCAGAAAAATGAACTAGCCTGATGCATCATTTTTTATTTTGATATTCAGGTTGTCTTTGAATTCAGTCCTCTGTAGGTTGATAATTTTCATTTCCATCAAACGATTGGGCATCCTTTATGTTCCTAACACATTACCCAACCATGTCAGTACAGATATCCAGCATGATATTTTCCCCATTGAGATCTGATGTGTTTTAAAATTTTTGTTGAGCAGTATAGTTGTCCTGTGAACAGATTTTCCCACCTGAGCTGTGGATCTCTGCAGCTCCTCCAGAGTTACCATGGGCCTCTTGGCTGTTTCTCTGATGAATGCTCTCCTTGCCCAGCCTGTCAGTTTAGGTGGACAGGCATGTCTTGGTAGGTTTGCAGTTGTGCCATACTCTTACCATTTTTGAATGATGGATTGAATAGTGCTCCATGAAATGTTCAAAGTTTGGGATTTTTTTTATAACCTTACCCTGCTTTAAACGTCTCCACAACTTTATCCCTGACCTGTCTGGTGTGTTCCCTAGCCTTCATGATGCTGTTTGTTAACTAATGTTCTTTAACAAACCTCTGAGGGTTTCACAAAACAACTGTATTTATACTGAGATTAAATTACTCACAGATAGACTCTATTCACTAATTAGGTGATTTCTGAAGGCAATTGGTTCCACTAGATTTTAATTAGGGGTATCAGAGTAAATGGGGCTGTATAGAAATGCACACCACACACTTCAGATATTGATTTGTAAAAAATTTTGAAAACTACTTATCATTTTCCTTCCACTTCACAATCATGTGCCACTTTGTGTTGATCTATCACATAAAATCCCAATAAAAAACATTTACGTTTTTGTTGTAACATGACAAAATGTAGAAAATTTCAAGGGGTATGAATACTTTTTCAAGGCACTGTATACATAGGACTCTATAGGACTGCTTGATTTGTTGAGAATAGCTTGCAATATGCAAATAGGAGACAGATTTGTTTAAAATGCATTAACATACAAAATGCTACCCAAGCCTTGAGATCTTCACGCTTTGTTAGGACAGACAGTGCGCACATCCAGTTTGCAACTAATAGTGAGATCTGCCAGCACAGTATGGAAACCATACCTCCCCAGCCCCTTCTTTAAAATGGTTCTAAAGCTAAAACATTTTTTAAATTCCCTGCATTAAGGTAACAAATGTCTTGCCACTGCTTGTTCTTACCCCCCACTCCACCCCCCCCAAAAAAAAAAAAAAACACTTACCTGAGCTCTGTATCGATTGTCCAGCGCTATGCCCAACTGCAGTTCTCTCCTGTCTTTCTCTCCTCACAGGAGGATTGGGCAGCAGCGCACATCTGCCTCCAGAGCAAGTGGCTAGCTATAGGGGCAGACACAAAAGAGGAGGGCCAAGATTGAGGGCGGGGGACCCCATAATAGGAGATTTGGGGCTGCTCTGTGTAATTCTATTGCACAGAGTAGGTGAGTATAACATGTTTATTGTATTAATTTAAAAAAACTGCCTTTAGAAACACTTTAACATTACATGGGAGAAAGCTGGCTAGAAATTTTAAGCAAGTTAAAAGGTAAGTTATGCTATGTGAATAGGAACATGGAGCAAATATAAAGTAGGTGTTGTCCAAATTTAACTTCAAAAGTGGAAATACGCTTTAAATACTTGTACCTTTTCACAGACTGGGATGTTGTCGTTGGCATCAAGAACCTTTACTTCCACTACAGCCTTACTTGAAAATGTTCCATCAGTGGCAGTTATGTTTAGGAGGTAGTTGTCTTTTACTTCCCTGTCAAGTGCTTTTTTAACATACACTTTCCATTCATTGTGCATGTTTTCAATTGCAAACTGGCCCAGAGGGTCCCCTCCTGTAACATATAAATTTTATCAGTTTCATACAGAAAATCTACCATCCGCTATTGACACTGATACAAAAGAAAGAGTAGTAAAATCCAATATGTTAAAGCAGATCTTGTACGCCATGCAAAGTCTGCTTAATTAGTAAGGGTCCCTTCCTCCAGGGCTACCTGGCATTCCCTGGGATATTGCCTGAAGGATACTGACAAAGCCCTTGCAAAAGCCCTTGGTAAGAGGAACCACTGCTGGCAACTGAGACCATGCCAATGTCCCAGCAGATTTCAGATAAGGTTTTCTCTTCAATGCAGCATCATTCTGGTGGGAGAAAAAGTATTTACTTTATTTTTTTTTTTTTAGGTATACCTGCCTGGGATTTCTTTTTAATGCCATGGTTGCTTTAAAATCAGTATTATGGACTCCCACGCTTTAGCAGAAGGGTGCTCTAAAGGCTTTCAGAAAGCTGCCCAAAATGTATGTGCTTTGTAAATGCTTGCTAATTTTGTGATACTTGCAGCCTGAGATTGTGTAGACCAGCTGCTGACATCTACTGAGTATGCTCCAGTTTCAGCTCCCATCTCTGCTGTTCATTTCCTCCTCTTTCTTATCTGTGCAGCCCATGTGACTATAAAGTCATGCATGTGGGTGTATAGATATTGGTATCTGACATTCCATTCCTTCATGTCCTTATATTGCTAAACACTATCGGGTGGGATATAAGATGTTGCTTGATGGGGGCTTCACCTTCCTGTTCGTCCCAGCACATACACACCAAAGACACAGGCTGGAGGGGTGTGACACAGCATGTGATTAGCAGAATCTTCTCCATATTTCTTTACAGTGTGAACAAAGTGAAAGATATTGTCAGTCAACTTAAACTCTGCCTACACTATGTATGGCTTTGAAATATAGATTTGTATGAAAATTTAAAAACACTTAGTTGCTATTGATTTTTTTTTTAATTCTCTATTCTGAAAGGTGTTTTTATGTCATGTAGCTGGCACAGCACCAATCAGTGCTATGCAGACACAGATTCACACTTCAGCAGAGTATGAGAAACTCCTCCTTCAGAACTTTCCCTGAGGACAGAAAAGACCTGGAAAATGTCATGAGACGAGACCTATGAACAACAATAATTAAATAGGGTACGTCGATGATTTTTTTAAATATCAAATTAAATACAGTGCCATGCTCTGTATACATAAACAGAAGGATAATGGCAATTAAAAATTGTATGTTTTGTATCACTTTAAGTTTTACCAGGTTATAAATACGGAGGTCTGCAAAGTTCAGAACTAGGCATAAACTAGGCATAAATATGCATAAATAATCACCAGTGGAAGACAAACCGCCACCACATACATTATGCAGTGTTAGACTGATTAGCAATTTAACTGTAACTGATGCAGTTCTTGTAGCAAAACTAATATAAAAATGCTGCTAATTATCATTTGATGAAAGAGAAGAACATCTTAACTAAAAAAATGAGGACTTGTGATGGCATTTAAAAGACAAATACAAAATGATATATCAACTGAGGTGGCTGGGAGGGGAGAAAGTTAAATAAAAAAGCTCTACATTTGAAAAGAAGATAAAACACAAAGCCATCATTTCAAATAACCTGAACATAATGAGATTTGATACATTACCTAAGTGATTCTTAATTATCAAGAATAAAAGATATTTTATGATGGAAAAAATATTTTTTTAAATTGAATAAACATCAAAAATAATAAAGGCAATTAATATGAAGCATAAGTAGAAGATAAAAAACACAGTTAAATGTGCTTTACAATTGTAAAAACATTAAAGGGCTAGTAAACCTTTATCAGAAAGTACATATAACAATAAAGATTTCAATTTTCGGATACAGTATATAATGTATGTTATATATCTAAACATTTCAAGCCCTAAGGTAATGGAACTATAATTCAGATGAGGCAGGAAAGTCGTATGGGCTGCATGGCGCCCACTCACTCTCTCTCTTCTGTCATCAGGATAAAAACAACAAATGCACCCCAGTTGTTCCCCAGCTGATAAGTCATACTTCCTTACCTATTTTTTGCAGTTAAATATTTCAGGAAATATTTTGTGGCCCCTTTCTCTAGAAATGTTCAAAATTTTGTAAATTGCAATTTAAAAAATATACATCGTTAAGTTACAAAGTGCTATAATTCTTTTTTCATGGAAATAAAAAGGTATGATATGATTACTCACAGGCCTGCTGGCACACGCAGACGCACTGTGGTTGTGATTTCACCTATGCATGTGGAGATGACCAGATACTCTTATTGTTCCTTATCTGAGATGAGAAGAATGGGGGGGGTGGGGGGGGGGATTTCAGGCAAACATATGAATAAGCTATCTAGCAATAACTTAATTTGGAAGAAAACAGCTGGATCTGATAACGGTCATCTCACAACTACAGCCATCTTTACTTAGGCAGGCCATACATGATGCGATTTTCATTCCTGCAACCGAAGGTTGCTGGAAAGAAAATCACTCAATTCCCCCATCAACACAGTCAGTGTTGATAGGGTTGATGCTGGTTTTACCCATGGTTGATGCTGGTTGTACCCAAGTCGTACAACAATCGACTTGGATACAATCAGCCTGCCCATAGATGGTTTGAATCCCAGCTGGTCCCTGCTGCACTGGCCAAGATTTGAATGATCTATGGCAAGATTTAGTGAACTTAAGGAAGCCTCTATTAAAGGAAATCTATGACAATACACAGATGGAAGCTTCCACAGCAGATTTGTTAGTAAAGAAGCTGGTTCCAGGGCGATCTTTCTGATCCTGGCTTGTGAGTAATTGGGATGGGAAGTTTGGTATTTTATGACTTTATTGGCTGCATGCGTGTTCTATGTAATTGACTCACTAAGTTATTAAATCCAGGGTATAAATGACACATTTAAAATCAACCAGAAATAGCAGGTGTCATTTTTCTATTCTTTCTAAGCTTAACAAACATCTGTCATTTTAAGAGTGACACCGCTATTCTATAAAACTACAATTATATATCATCATATCTTTCTAAAGTTTTAACTAAAAATGTTTAGGATATCAGAATATTATTTATCATAAGACCTTGAATGAGTTGTTATTTAACCAACAACACTTGTCTAAATACCTGTTGTAATAACCAGGGACACTGGTAGACTTGAAGTAACTTTGGATGCCACTGATAGTGAGCAATTGTAGTGTATGCTGTGTGTCACAGACGTTTCTGAGACTGGTTTAAGTATGGGTGTAGTTTAAAAGTAGTTCATGTCAAATAGTGCTTATACTGACAAATCTACATACTTTAGACACCATTTGAAAACAATATGCTCTCCTGACTAAGCTAAGCCAAGCTCCTTCCCCTGAGAACGAATCCCTTCCTCGCTATGCTGTGGCTGGATCAAAGCTTCTTCATGCAGGTGGGGAAAATGCATGAAGTGTTTTTTCTTTTGACTGAAGGAGACAGCATTGTATATTTCATGAGTGCTAATGTGTGTTTATCCAAATATATTTCATGTACAAAAGGTATCTGAATGTATCTATGAAGCTATACTGAGTATAATGTAAGCAATTTTATATCAAAGGTGGACAACCTTGGCTTTTCACCTTTTGAAAGAAACCTATCCTTGCCATCACAAACTGCATAGCAAGTGCCTGAGCCTAGGGACACATGTGGATGAAACCACAGCTTGGAGTGCTTATATAACTAGAAATGTCAACACTTTTCTTTTTTTTTGTTTTTTTACATAGTATTAGCAGTATACTGACTTACTAGATGGCTAGCAATGGGAAAATCTGAAAAATAATAACAATTTACCTGTAATGTACATTGTAGTTTCTTTGTTGATGTCTTCAGTATCATCATCAGTGGTGCTCAGAATGGCAATGACACCACCTAGAGGGTCATCCTCACTCACTGTACCTTTGTATATTTCTGCATTGAAGCGTGGAGGATTATCATTCATGTCCATCACTGTAACCTCAATTATAGTGGATGATGACAGAACTTTATCACCATGGTCATACGCAATCACTACAATGTTGTATTTGTTTCTTTTTTCATGGTCAAGCTCAGAAAGAGTGGTGACCCATCCAGTTTCCAAGTCTACTGAGAAAAGATCTTTAATTTCTTGTGGTTCCTGTGATAATGCCAGCATATATGAAACATGCCCATTGAGTCCGGTATCCGCATCAACAGCTTTAACCTGGATAACCTTAGCCCCTGCAGCAAGATTCTCCACAATGAAAGCCTCATATGGATTGGCTTCAAATACAGGCTTATTATCATTCACATCTTTAACTTGGATACTAACATCCACAGAGGTAATTACTTCGTGTTCTCCATGAATGCTTTGAGCTAACACTGAAAACTGATACCATTTAGTTGTTTCATGATCCAACATCTTCTCAAGTTTTAGCCGGCCATTTTGTTTGTCGATAACGAAAATGTCATCAATATTACTCTCAAGTGTATTTCCTTTCATGAGATTATATATTATGGGTTGGCTACTATCTGCTCTAATAACATCCAGCTCTGTACCAACAGGAGTGTCTTCAGAGATAATTAAAGTATAAAAAGGCTCAGAAAACTTTGGCATTTGCACTTCAGGTGGGAGGATTTGGATAGTGACTGGCACAATGCTCTCTCTATGTGGTGAGCCACCATCTGTTGCTTTAACAAAAAAGGAAAATATTTCATCTTCTAATCCAACTAGGCTTTCCTTGGTGGTAATGATTCCAGAATGTGGACTGATTTCAAAATTTTCTGCCACACTTTCAGACTTTGCCAGAATGCTATATGATATATCAGCATTTGCCCCCTCATCACTATCAGAAGCCAAGACTCTAACAACAGTAGAACCTCGAGGTGCATCAGATGCAATGCTTAGCTTGTACTCTGATGCACGGAACTTTGGATCATTATCATTATAATCTGTTAGAATGATACTGACAGAGCAGAATCCCACTTTTCCACCAGCATCCTTGGCCATTACACTTACAGGGATGACTTTGTTAGTTGGACTTTCTCGGTCAAGCTTTTCTGCTGTAAACAACTGTCCTTTCTCGTTAAAGTAGAAATTGTCCTTTGCATACTCATTCAGAATGTGGTAAGTAACTTGACCAAAGACTCCCATGTCTTCATCAACAGCTTTGAGTTCAGTCACAAGGGTATGCACTGGAGAATTTTCTGAAAGTTCTACTTCATACTGACTCTGTCCAAATGTAGGACTATGCAAATTGGAGCTCATTACAGCAATGTGGACTTGAGCTGCACTTCTAAACACTCCATCAGAAACTGAGACATTGAGGATATAGAATGATTGTAGAATGTTTTTCCGTAAGTGTGAAACCCGTATTGTTCCACTTTTGCTGTCAATAACAAAATTCATATCTTCGTTGCCAGAAAGAATAGAATATTCTAATTTTTCGGTGTCTATACTATCAGGATCTGTGGCTTTGATAGATGTTACAAAGCTTCCTTGCTTTGAAAGCTCGCTAATTCTAGCTTCATAAACATGTTGTGTGAATTCTGGGGGATTATCGTTCAGATCAATAACATTGACATTTACAGTGGCAATGCTACTTAAAGGAGGAATTCCGCTGTCCACTGCTCTCACTAAAAAGCTGTATGCATGCAAATATTCATAATCCAGTGGTTTTCCAACTACAATGAGTCCACTGTGGCTATCAATGTGGAAATACTGGGAAACATTTCCATAATTACTCACTATGTGGTATGAAATGGCTTTATTTAAACCAGAGTCAGCATCCGTGGCCTTTACTTGTACAACAGATGTTCCAATAACAGAAGCCTCAGATAAGGTAGCAGAATATGCCCTCTGCTTGAACATGGGTGAATTATCATTAACATCTTCTAAGATAATATCAACAAAAACTTCAGCATGTGCTCCGGTCACAGAGTCTGTTGCTCGAACTCTCAGTTTGTATGCTGGGTGGGACTCAAAATCAAGAGGTGCAAGCACATTAATTACACCTGTGTTGAAGTTAATATTAAACTGATTGAATGGATCACCATCTGTGATGCTGTAAATTATTCGGAGACCTTCTGGACTGTTGGCTTGTATGTGCACAACAGGACTATGGAGCTGGGCATTTTCTGCTATTACTGCACTGTAGAAAGGCTTTTCAAAGACTGGCATTGCTTTATTCATTACTGTAATTGGGACAACAACTTCTGCTGAATAGGAAGGGTTTCCACCATCTTTAGCTACAATGGTGATAAAGTATTCTTTATGAAATTCATCAGGATTAAATTCTTTTTTCAGTGAGATAGCACCTGATGGCCCAATTTGAAAGTGCTGAGAATGATCTTTCAGATAGTAATGTATCTCTCCATTTTTATCAATATCTTTATCTACAGCAGTAACATGGCGGATAATGTCACCTACTTCGGCATCCACCTGTACCATTGCATAATATGGAAGATTGACAAACACAGGGCTGTTGTCATTGATGTCTTCAACAAACACTTTCACCAGGACATGAGCAACTCTTGCTGGTTTTTGCTCATCAGTAACCTCCACAACTATTTCGTACAGATCCTGCTGTTCTCGATCAAATGGTATACCTGTCGTTGACAAGACACCAGAAGTGTGGCTAATTTTAAATCGGATATCTGGATTAAGAATACGGAAAAACAAAGGTTCATTGATGCGACTTCCAACTGCACTGATAACGGTTAAGGTTTTTATTTGAGTTGTATTCTCTTGAATGGATGCGGAGTAAGTCCGCTGAGTGAATTTCAATGAGCTTTCTTTACTTTCTTTCACGGTAATTTTCACTGATGCAAGGGTAGAGAAGCGTCCATCTGAAGCTCGTATATTTAGTTCATAACGGCTCCTTAAAGGACTGGTGTTTTGGATAGTTATTACACCTTTTAAGGGGTCAATAGCAAACTTTTCTCCAATGTTACCTTCAACTATGGAATATATGATTTCTGAGAATGAACCAGAATCATCATCTGTTGCATTTACTGTAATAACTCTTACCCCCTTGTAAGTTGGTATTAATATGGAAGCTTCATAGACTTCTTTTGAAAACACAGGAGCACAGTCATTGATATCAACCACATAAATAGTAACATTAGCAGAGTACTCTGCAAACAGTCGTGGATATCCCATGTCATGTACTTGAACAGTGAAATGGAATATATTTGTTTGTTCGTAATCTAATGTGACCAAGGTGCGTATCGCACCAGTGCTGGGGTCAATGGCAAAATACTTATGGACAGATGGCTCAACAATTTGATAAACAAGCAAAGCATTTGTTTCTCTGTCAGCATCAGTGGCTCGAATTACCAGGGGAGTGTTTTCATCAGTTAACACAACACTGTTAGCTGGTGCAGATTCACTAATGAGTCCTCTGTATTCTCTCTGAGCAAAAATGGGAAAGTTGTCATTCTCATCTCGGAGATGAACAACAAGTGTTGCATTGGTGGACAACCCGGCCATGTTTGTAGCTTGAACAGTAAGAGTGTAAGATGGAATTGTTTCAAAATCAAGATGGTCTCGTGTTATGACAACACCAGAATTTGGATTGATCTCGAAGGCATTCATTATATTTCCATTCTTGATTTCGTACGTGACTGAAGATTGGCTGTGAGTGGAAAGCATTGCCACAAAACTACCGATTCGTGCCGATTCACTGATTTCAGCAGAGTACTCTCTCTTCATAAATTTGGGGGCTGCATTGTCTGAAACGGTGACAAGAATGTGTAGGGATGTTATCTGGCTCATCGTTGGAATTCCATGATCTGATGCTTTAATCACCAGTTCATACTGACTTTGACTGCTTCGATCAAGTTCTTTTGCCGTCTTAATAATTCCCAGTACTGGATCAATTGAAAAGACATTTGCAGTATTCCCTGGAAAAAAAAGTACATTTAATAAACATGACTTGCGTAATGGCACAAACTAAACTGTCAGACATTTCAGTAAACAGTTTACCATACCTAATCTTTCGCTACAATAATTGTATGCACCATTTCTTTAATTTAAAGCAGAACTTGTGGATTTTTATGGAGCTCCTAATTTGCTTAGGCTGTTACCTGTCTAGGTTTAAAGTAATTTTTGCTATTTAAAGATGACACGTGCGCTCAGCTCTGAACAAAAAGAAATCAGCACTTTACTGTATGAGTTCTAGGAAGATCACTGATATGTTATGCATATTTTACCTAACCATGGCAAGGTTCCTTTTATGATTATATGAGTGGTATTCAATCACACAGTCCACTGTCTCAAGAAAAACTTTAAATGGCTGTGCAAGGCCCTCCAAATCATGATTATGCCATTACAGTCCTTAGCAAAGCAAATGTGATTATCAGCCAGGCTACACAGTATGGTTTTGATAGGAAGACTGTGTGATGTGTTAACAAGAGGTCATTTGCTGTGAAATCTACTTTGGAAACATAATTAGTTTATTCTATTTTTTTTCCAAATAATAGTAAAAGTGTAAGGCTAGTTTATGAAAAGGAGCAATTAGCATACGATGAAATGCTCCATTCGAGCAGAGGGAATTACACTAGGGAGTTGGTAAATGATAATGTCTGCTCTGACTGTTGTGCTATGAACACTATGCCATTCTCAGAATAGAACATTACAAAGTCCATAAAATATCACAAGCATCTGAGGAATCCCTTTGCTGCTGCCATGGAAGATTGACAGTTATAATTTATTCCCCCAGAATTTTGATGGGAAAAATGTGACATTTAGGCTCATTTTGATGTATTGTGTCATCCGTTTTTTCATCAGCCAATCAAACAGCAGTATCATTTAAAATGTGCAAATATTAGTATGAGGACAAGGCACATGTGCGTGCCACGCATATTTCTAAAAACTGTATTTTTGTTTTATTCACTAGAAAATGTGTTTAGTATTGCTACCACAAAACAATAACATTTATTTCAAGGAAAAAATTAATACAATATACCATTGTAAATTGCCCTCTTTGCCTACAATTAAATTTTTTGGACAACTATTTCTAGTGTACATTCCAGGGAGGGCAGTTTTAATAGGCTAAAGAAATAAAATAAATATATTAATAAAACAGCAAGATAAGTGAGCGCTAAAAGATAAAAATCAGCAGCTATGCACCGCAAGGTACCATATAAAACCTTCAAAGTAAATAGAGTAAAATAAGGTGCAGCGCTAAAATAATTTGTTATGTATCAAAATGTTCTTACTTAAGCATCTAAAATCACCATAAACAAAAAATCTGTGACACAAATATCACTCTATAGTGACTAATAACGTGAAAGAGTGTTGTACACTACAAAGTCCACAATATAAGTGCACGTAAGATCCCAAATGATCTTCAAAATCCAGTGGCTGGATCTCCCCTCACTGTATAGAAATGCTGCCACACATGGAAAGGCCATCCTAATTAGATGATTATTTGGCAGGAGACTGAATACAATTGTCCGAACACACGGCCCGCTCTTCCTCCAGCGGCCCGATCGCTCCCCTTAGCGACAGCTGCAACAATCATTTCCGGAAGGTCACGCCTAGCAGCAAAGCGGCCGGACAATTGTATTCAGTCTCCTGCCAAATAATCATCTAATTAGGATGGCCTTTCCATGTGTGGCAGCATTTCTATACAGTGAGGGGATATCTGACCTGATCTGACCAGACCTATTAGGATCCTTGATGTCCTGTGGTTACCTGTTATATGCACATTTAGATTGCGTATCTGGTGAGTGCGCAATCTTTACACACCTATCACCTTAACCACGGATCCAGCAACTGGATTTTGAAGATCATTTGGGATCTTACGTGCACTTATATTGTGGACTTTGTAGTGTACAACACTCTTTCACGTTATTAGTCACTATTGATTGACATTTGTTTTTGGACTTGTGTCACATATTTATTGTTTATGGTGATTTTAGATGTTTAAGTAAGAACATTTTGATACATAACAAATTATTTAGCGCTGCACCTTATTTTACTCTAAAATAAATATATTAACTCCAAACTATTACCTGAAAGGTCAAAGGGCATTTTCAGAATACAATAACCCATAGCAACTAACCAGGATAAATGTTGATTTCGGTTAATAGTAATATGACTGGTAACTCTAAACAAGCTTGTGTGAGATAAGCATTTCAGACTTGTAAGGCTTAAAGAGTAACTTCACATTTGTTGAGAAAAATCTCCTCTAAAGGATCACTGTACATTACAGGGAATTTAATAAATGTAGCAGATTTCTACCTTGTGTTGGTATCAGGAAATATTTTGTTTCAAAAGGCTGATTGCATGCTCATTCTAATTGGGAGGGACTGGTTCATAATCAATCAGCTGATACACTTTCTGGGTTCTAATGAGGAAAGTTGCAGTGTCTGCATCCTTTGGAGAGTAGCTCACCAAAACTTCATTTCCATTGCAGGGTTAGCTAAAATCTGACGTCTCTTAGTACAGACTTCTGGGAAAAACAGTGAACCAATCACACACACAGAAAATTACATTTTTGGAGGTGTTCTGTATGCCAAACAGAAGGTCTCCAGCTTACCATATTGCAATTAATTTTCAGAAATTTACAGCGCTGCTGAAGGAAGATAATTTTTAACAGCATTAAATGACAACATTGCTTGTGTAGTATTGTAAATGCTGTATTATTTTTTTTGTATTTGCTCCTTTTTTTTTTAACCACAAATATGGAGTTACCCTTTTTAACATTGCAAGGTTCAATGTGCATGGCCTATAGTGGTTTATCAAACTTACTGTTTTTCACTTCAGTTAAAAGGGACTGGATGGTTTGGTATGGATTACAGCACATTACACAATCAGCATTGTTCACTTGAGCTGTCATAAACCAATGGCCAGCTGGACACATTATTCAAAAACCTGGGCAATTCTACACTGAGATCTATGTAATTACAGTCATGGCCGAAATTGTTTGTTGCAGGAAATATTCTTTGTATTGCATTTCACAAATTTTTTCCATTATTTCACAATGTTTTTCCCTATTGCAGTGTATTGGGCCAAAATCTGAACGTCTTTAGTACAGACTATTGGGTCTTTCACAACTGGGAAAAAATGTTTTGAACCAATCACCTGGGGCATTAAAACATGGGCAATTGAGAAAATTACATAACCTTTGCATTGGAGGCTGTTGTTATGCACACTTGTGAAGGAAAGTTATTTTTACAAATTGCAAAAAATCAACAATTAATTTTTCATCTATGAATTTATTTGTGTCACAGTAAATTATAGTTTGCAACCCATGCAGATTGTGTTTTCTATTTTTATATATTTTTTGATAATATTAAATTTTTAACAGCATGGAGTTAAAGACCATAACATTTGCAAATTTCATGTGCCTATTTTTAGTGGTTGATCAAACTTACTGTTTTCACTTTTTTTTAAAAGGAAATATGATGGGGTTTGGTATGGATTACTAGTTAAAGATATTACACACTGAGGCCTACAAAGCAAAACATTGTCCTCACAATGATTTTTTGTTCACTGACCACTGTGGCCATATATGGTTGACCAAACTTACTGTTTTCACTTCAGTATAAAAGCTATGATGGTTTGGTCCAAGATCCTGGTCTTCCCACAGGACACAATCAAACATACGTCACTGAGCAGTCATAAACTTCTATAGGCCACTTCTGAAAGCGCTAAGTTGGCCTGAGGCAATATTAAAAAATATACCGGACCTTATTTTATTAAAGCCCTGTCAAAACCTGGGCAATTCACACTGAGCATTTAGTATCCAAAGGGTGTGCAACCAAAATTAATAATTAGTCCAGATCTATGTGACATAGTCATATTTATATATATATATATAGCAAAACACAATACTTTTTTTGTGTGAAATACTTGATTTTTCAGGAAAAATATTCTAGGGTGCCAACAATTTCGGCCATGACTGTATATATATATATATATATATATATATATATACACACATACATACATATATATATATATATATGTATATATATACATAGATCTGCTAATTATATTTTATATATATATATATATATATATATATATATATATATATATATATATATATATATATATATATAAACATTCTGGAAAAGGCATGAATCAAATTTCTTGAAAGACTAGCACAGAAACCATATACATCGTATTCGTACAGTATTAGATTAGTATAACATTATCTTTTATGTAAGAAGTTGGATTTTTCTAGTTGAAAGATAGATCACTGAGCAATGAAAGTTTCTTCTGTTTAATTCCTGAACTGCTTCGTATAGCTGAACTCAGCCTAGGTCAAGTCAGACACATACTCCCACCTTGTAGATAATGGAGTCCTCCTAGCATGTTTTCCAGTGACAGATACCTGTACAGCATGTTGAATCATCATGGGGCAGAGGATTTTCTGCTCTCAAGTTTAAGATATATTATTTTATTGACACTGGGAACTGATACGAGCTAATTTAAAATATCAGCTATGCAACCAAAAGCCTATTCACAAAACATTTTTGATGAACATATGGGCAAATGACTTGTTTGGGCACTGCAGCTATATATATAGAAGGCCTCTATTCAGGTGTATGTGTTGCTATTACATATAATAATACCGTACCTGACTCAATGGAATAAACAACCTCAGCATTTTTCCCTTTATCTTTATCTAACGCAGTGACTTGGAGCACAGCGGATCCAACAGCTGCTGATTCATAGACTCGACCTTCATAGAAAGAGCTTGTAAACCAGGGGGCATGGTCATTGGTGTCAGTCACATTAATAACAATCCTGGCATAGTTGCGCATGACAGGGACATCTTGATCACGCACCTGAAAAATGAATGCTCAGTCAATACTCCAGCACATGAATTTTACAATGAAAAATAAAAAACGTCCCATTTGTCAGCCTCTGAGAAAGAGATGTGTGATTACTGCTTACCATTACGGTAAGAATGTGCTGCTGCATTGCTTCGTGATCCAATTTTTCTACAACATACAGAGAGCCCGTGGCAGGGTCTATCCGAAACTTCTTCAGACTAGCAGGGTCAGTGCTGCTCTGTAATGTGTAAATCAATTTATTCTTCTCATCTTTGTCAGTGGCAGTGACTTGCAAAATCTCTGTCTCCGGTCTAACGTCTTCTGGGATCAGCACTTCGTACTTTGAGGTGGAAAATTCTGGCCGGTGGTCATTGGTATCGATTACTTTAATTAAAACCTAAAAACGAGAGCATAATTAAAGATAACATAGTTTAAAAACACTGAATATAAAACATTGCATAAACCGTTATTTTCGTCTTCCACATACATCACCAATTAGCTGTTAGGGATTGTGTTAAAGCAGCTTGTGAAAATGCATAATGCCATTCGATTTTTTTTTTTTTAAAGTAGTCATGAAACAAATATGTTGGCTGCTGCTTCTGACTTCTGACCTTGTCAAGATGCTAACTGCTTGGGTGTCATGAACAGCCTTTGCTTTACTACTTTTTGAAGCTACTGACCCAGAAAAAGTATATGAAATATTGACTTTTATTTGGTTTTAATTTGCTGCAGTTATCTGCATGTTTTCAGGGCTATGATTCAGAAATACTGAAACCAGACAGCACCAGGCGATCGGCATTTTCAGAAGGCGGCAAGCAATACTAGACACATGGCCGATACATATATTCTGAGCCTGTAACATACACTCAAAGGTCACTTTATTAGGTACACCTGTTCAATTGCTTGGTAACACAAATTGCTAATCAGCCAATCACATGGCAGCATCTTTAGGCATGTAATCGTGGTGAAGACGACTTTCTGAGGTTCAAACTGAGTAACAGAATGGGAAAGAAAAGGGATTTAAGTGACTTTAAACATGGCATGGTTGTTGGTGCCAGATGGGCTGGTCTGAGCATTTCAAAAACTGATGATCTACTGGGGTTTTCACGCAAAACCATCTCTAGGGTTCACAGAAAATGGTCCATAAAAGGTTTTAGGAGAACAAATCATTCCCTGGCTTGCATATACCCAGCACATCAATACAGTCCTCCCACTATAAAGCCCCATGCTGACTGGGCATCTAGCCCTGGTTCATGGGCTCTGGCCTTTAACCGGGAGTGGAAAGCACGGGTGTACCGTCTAACCTGCTGCTGGCAGCCTGTCAAACTCAATGAGGGCCAGGCAGCTGCTGAAGCTGGATGGTGCCCCTAAGGGTACTTACGCTTAGGGCAGTTTGCACCCTAGATGTATGCCCAGAATGCACGCAGTCTACATACATAATGCCCTAAATAAAAGTACTGATGAGTGCCCAACCCAGCATTGTCCAGAAGGAGCAGCTGTCAGCCTCTCATAGAGTCTGATAGGCTGCTGGTAGCGGGTTGGATGGTGCACCTGTGCCCTCCACATACGGCTAAACGCTGGTGACCCATGTGCCTAGTATGGATAGGGCCTAAGGATTTTGCCAGGAAGCGTCTTGTCAGTGCGTAAACAAGCTTTTCTTTTTATCCTGAGTGTTCTGAACTCCCATCACTCACTTCATGTCTACAGGTATCTTTAGAGCTCATTCACACTGGCAGGGTCAAACCTGCATTTTTAATCACATATAAATAAAGGCAATGTTTTCCCAATGGTGTCATTCCAACTCAGCATTTATGGAAGTGGGACCATGGGCTGATAGGCTTCCCCGGGCCCCGAATGGAGAACCTTGGTGCGAGGGGATCCCAGGGGGATAGTAAAGAAATGTATAAGCTTAGAATCTTAAGCACTAAGTTTTAACATCGTGTATATGAATGTCACTTCAAGAACGTATTGTGCCCTGACACCCTACTTATATCTTTTCTGTACTGTTTTGTACTTATTTGTACTACTATAGTATTGAAGAATGTAAAATACAAAAACTTAATAAAAATGAATGGAAACAAGCTCAGCATTTACCTGCATTTGGTTTAGCTATGTTTAGAGAAAACAGAAGTCCAGGTGTCCAGGATCTGATTAGAAACTCAACTAAATGCATGTAATCACATGTAAGCACCTCAGCAGGAGCATCTAAATGCAGGAAAAAGTGATATACTTACCAGATAACCTCTAGCATATTGTTTTGTCATTTAGAGGTCTATAAAGAGCTCATAATATTTAACATTGAACACAACCTCTTTAGTTAGAAGAGTACAAGTAAGAAACCATGTTTTTAGAGTGACTGGGTGCAGTATCCTTCCCTGAATAGCTCTACCATGAAACAATCGTTATCTCAGTTCTGGCACATTCCAAAAACACTCATAGGAATGTTTGTGAATGTCACAGCAGCTATTCCATACCAAACAAGTTGTACTTTACGTTCACCCATCTCTAGAACAAGGAGCTTGTGAGGTTGGTGTGATTACAATTTCATTGTTTTATGTGCCTCCAGTTAATGTTTTAGATGTCTTTTTGCTCCTGAAAAAGCCGCAGGTGGAAATGGTAAGCAATGTTGTTCACTATTCTTCTGACAGACTTTCATGTCATCAAATATATAACAATACATGAATTAACATGCCTTTGGGCATCATAGATTATATCTCCATCTGCGACAATAATTTCAGGTGATGATTTTACACCGTTTTACTTTATGAGGTGCTAAATTCATAAAACAAGAGCAGCCGTTTCAAGATTCCAATCAAACACAGCAATAACCTGGGAAAGACAGCACAACCTATGCTATTTACTTACATATTTAATAAAATACATGTATGGTAACCGCCACAGATACATAGTAAATCCAGGAGAATTTCTTGATCATTGTTATTTAGTGCATTTACACCACAACAAGATACACTGAATTATTTACAATTTTCCCTGCAACAGTGAAGCTTACACTCTAATTTGTGGCTAAATAATTAATAGAGGATTTGAGCTGCAAGATAAAGACATGATTGTGATAGCCTTCTGGCAAGAATGGGAGATACACATTCCAGCAAGGAAGGCTTCAGTGTAGCCTCTGAGAATGACGGAAGCCACATTCAGCTCATTAATGTTACATACACGCAATGGATTTCTATAGGGAATCACACAGAATTCATTGATCATACAGTCAGAGATACAATAGGATTGATGAGCGAAAGTGTATTATGCAAACATTGCCTTAAACACTGAAGCAAATCCTAAGGCCAAACTTTTTGCCTGATCGTCTGATTGAGTTTTCCCTTCATACATTGCCGCATAGGCAGAAAGTACAACTAAAGGCTCCTGTATGACATTCTAAACAGGAACTCAGTTCAGTTACTATGTGATGCACAAACTTCATAAAGTACACAAACAACTTCCTTTACCTTCCTTGACTGAGCCAAATCCTTCTTTTGTGTCTCACATGCTCCCCCTCCCAGACACTGCAGCTCACAGTGGGGTTTCTTTGGCAATGCTGCCAATCCAGAAAACAATGGCAAGTGTGCTGACATGCTACAGGCTTGTGAATGAGCAGTGGCAATGTTGATCACCATGCCCCTTACAACTTTTTTTATCCCACTGTAGTGTAAATAGACATAGCCTACATGAAAGTGGAAACTCTGCTCTGAGTTCAGAAGCAGTGTCCTCACAGTGGACTACACAGGCAGGAATAATGGGTATTTGTGGGACTTTTCAGGGGAACTAAGAGAAAACTGTAAGTGCAGAAGGGCTTATAAATAAGTGCTGCAGTGCATGTTTTGTATGAGAGATCAAGGTTCTATTTTTACAAGAGGTGGCTGACAATCTCTCCAAAGTGAGGAAAATTCAGGAGCAGTGCAGCATCGTTGCCACACTTCACTGGAAGCCTCATTAGGTAGACTTCACAAGCAGGATGAATGGGTATTTGTGGGACTTTTCAGGGGAACTAAAAGAAAACTGTAAATGCAGATTGACTGATAAATAAGTGCTGCAGCACATTTTTTTATGAGAGATTATTGTTTTATTTACAGGAAGTAGTTGAAATGTCTCCAAAGTGAGGAAAATACCATCCAGTTGTCACAAGAACATGTGTCCAGATTGGAAGATAACAAGGCTTTAGCTGCTTACGCATATTAGACAATGACAGCAGTTTACAACATGAAAGATTGTGGTACAAATGTGCACTTGACATTAACACAGCTCGTACCTTCAGATGAGAGGGAGCACATTGTAGACATCCCTTGTGCCAGCCTTTATCAGAAAAGAAATAGCCTAGGGAAATTCAGTAAGTTTCATTGGGCCCACAGACATGGACATCCCCCTGTCTGAGCATAAATTGGGACATTAAAGCTCCCCTCCTCTCCCCAGGCAGAGGGTGGATGGATAGCACTTCCGCCTGGCAGTACTAGGGTCGTTGGTTCAAATCCCAACCATGGCACCACCTGCCTGGAGTTTGCATGTTCTCCCTGTGACTGCGTGGGTTTCCTCCTGGTAGTCCAGTTCCCTCTCACACTCCAAAGACATGCTGGTAGGTTAATTGACTCCTGTCTAAATTGGTCCTAGTATGTGTATGTATGAATGTGAATTAGGGTCCTTAGATTGTACGCCCTTTGAGGGTTAGGGACTGAGGTAAATGTACAATATATATGTAAAGCGCTGTGTAAATTGATGGCGCTATATAAGTACCTGAAATAAATAGAATACTCGGCTCTACCAAAGTACATAAAGCACAAAGAGCTCTGTACTTCATAGATTAGGAGGAACCCGACTGTTTCCCTTTAATTTCAAGGAACAAAATATGGATTTGTGGTCTGTGAAGTCCTACCAGTTGTTCCTTAACCCTCTAACAGTTCCCATACACAGCTCAAATTTTTGCAGATTCATGCTGAATTGGCCCAAAATTTGAGACATGGGTGCCTCTGTTGGCACTACCTGGCTCGACAAATTGGCTTCTGCTGGTAGAACACAATAGTCGGCAGGGAAGAATGGTACATTCGTGCTGTCAAGAATGGATACATTTGTAAGCTTAAAATGATTAATTACATGAGAACAAAAACTAATACATTATATATGCAAACTATTTACTTCATTTACAGACACATATCCACAATTGCTTAATAATTGTTGTACTGTAGAGAGGCTATATAGAGCCAAGGTGAACGTTTATGTAGCTTTGTATATAAAATAACACCCTTGGGAGCACAAATTGCAGCGCTGTACACAATTCAGACATTAGCACAAAGCATGGGCCAGAACAAGCTGAATTTTCAGAATGTAGTTTGTGTGAGTTTTCTTAAAAAGCCTATACAACCTTGACCTTGGAAGCATAGTGGAACAGCG